TGAAAGCAATAAAAAACATAGAAAAAGTATTTCAAAACGATCCGAAAAAATGGTAAAAATACGGTGTTATCGATCTTATAACAAAGCTATTGACAAGGCACATGCTATGCCTGTGGTTCAGAGTTTTGAGATGGTGAGAAGACAGGCTATAGTAAGGAGTGAGCTGAGAAGGAGAAAAACTCGCAAACATAAAGGAAAACACAGTCTGAAGGTTGGACTTGCCATCTCAGAAAAGGAAAAAGAGGTTAAAAGGTGTAGATCAATCTCTCGCCGTGATCGTATCTTTGAAATGAGCGAGCAAGGCCAAAATCACACAGTTAACATGAAGGAAAAGACATGCATATTTAGGAGATGGGATCTAACAGAGATTCCATGCCGTCACGCCCTAAGAGTTGTGTTTGACAATTAGAAGAAGTTCAAGGCTGATGATCTGGTTTCAGATTGGTATTTAAATTCTAAATGGAAGGATCAATACACTGATTCCATTGAGCTTGTCAACGGAAGTAAGTTTTGGAAATGTAATGGTGAAACATTTTGACTTTAGTATAATCTGTTATGTTATCTCAACTGATAACACCTGATTTTGACCACTTTTATGGATCACTTTCAGTATCTTATGCAGGTGTTTTTACTCAGTTTTAAAGGTTTTATAAGTGTTTTCCATGTTTTGGAGTTTTAAAAGGCTTTTCAGGAAACTTGGGACTTTAGAGTGCATTTTGGAGCAAAAGTACATTTTTGGATCAATTCAGGCCGTCAGAAGTTAGACAACCAATGAAAACCTTCTCACCGTCTGATCATCCCCAAATTTGGAGAACTTATAGAGGAGACAACCATTTTTCGAACACTTTTGGAATCAAAGCAGTCCAACGGTTAGATTTACAGATATCATCAATGCACTGAAGGCCGATCAACACAAGTCCAGTCAAGCACAAGTGCTTTCACCCGCGGCCAGCCTTCTTCCCACCGCGGCTCAAGAGGTTTCACCCCCGGTGGACCTATGTCAAAACCTTAGGAGCCCAACTAAGGCCCAAGACACTTCCTGCACCCATTTTACAAGCCCTAGACGCCCAAGACTTGGAGAAACACTATAAATACTCACTTTTATGTCTTTTGTAAGAGAGCCTCTTTCTTCTCTTTGAGAGAGAACTCATTTGTAGTTTTAGGTTTTATTTTTATGCATTTGTAGAAGCTCTCCATTGCCACTCTGCCTTCAATAAGAGAAGTTTTTCTGCAACTTTTGTTTTTTACTTTTCTTCTTCTTAGTTCAAAACTGATGATGATGTCTACCTCAGCCATGTCTGAGTAGTCACCTAGTTGGGTGAAAAGATAATCCAAAGGGACCCCATGTTCGAATGACATCTAGGTTTTTAGGAAAAGGATTTCGATTTTTAACATGATTCTCCCATTCATCCAAATCTCAAAGCGGTAATTCTGGATTGATCACCCAGAATCCAATCCTAGGTTTAATCCCAGCCACGAGAGTGTTGTATTTGGGTTGCCTGAACTCGATCTTATGGACATCACCATCGTAGGAGACGAAAGCTACCTACGGAGGATACATAAGCAGAGATGGATTCTGATCTACAAAGCATGATCTTGTTCTGGCATAAGAGCGAGAGTTAATTGACATGAACAAGTGATTAGATGATTAGAGTGACGAGAGTTGGCTAATCTTACATGTGTCTATCATAGTTTCAGAGTCATAGAAAATTCTTGCCTAAATTCCTTGTGTTTTATAACATGAACCCTAAAGATGAACCTTGAACCCAATGCCGTTTTTCATATAGTTTTCAACCGATTTTTATTTCCAGCTTTTTAATTCTCTGCATAACTAGATTTAGTGACAAACCAAAACCCCTTTTTATTAGATTAGGTTTACGATTGTTTTTACCATCAGTTAGAAGTCCTCAACACACAGATCTCTGTGGATTCGATCCCTAAGTACTACTGTGTTTGTTGTGCACTTGCAGCTTGTCTAGGGTAAAACTTGTGTTGCCCACTGCACTCACATCATAAACCTACCTGGAATCTCTGAGAAAGCCTTTGAATTACGATGAAGTCATTCCGAATTGATTTCAAACACCACCCAAACTCTATTTATAGATGTTCTTCTCCAATTTCTGGGTTTCAAGTTGATGAAAGAAGACATATGTTTTGTTTGATTTTTTAAAAATATAATAATCTTCAAACAACGTTGTTTTGCTATATTTTTTCCAGAATTTTAAATCTAAACAACGTCATACTATATTTCTTTTTGCAAATTAACGGATTGACTAACAGAACTAAAGTCAATGCACGAATTGGCAAAAAACAAATTTAATGGGGTTTTGATTTACCAATTTTAAGAAGTGAGGTACTGATTAGTGCATCAAAATTGTTTGAGTACTAATTGGTATCAGTTTATGGTGTTTTGATAGTAATCGGCCTTTTTCCCAGCTTTTACCCGGTTAGACTTCTCATCCGAATATAATATTTTCATTTTGTCTGATCATGTATTTGTATATTCCAATATCTATTCTATTAAAACATAAGCACTTTTAGTACTTGCAACCAAACATTTCTAAAGTTTTTTAAAAATTAATTGTTTAAAAACTTTTTTAAGATTATCCTATTTTATTGTAAGATTATCCAATCAATGTATGGCTTGATCGATGGATTTTTGATGAAAACCCTCGAGCTCCTTTTAGACGACAATTGTTCTAGGACTTAAACTTGATGGTGAGGGATCTCATTGATCCTCAAACTCGAACCTGGGACAGAGGAAAGCTCGACGATGTGATTGTGCCTGAAGATGTTGGCAGAATTCTCCAACAAAAACCAGCCTTTGGAAAGAAAGATAGTTTTGAATAGGTATATAACAAGAGTGGGGAATATTCGGTTAAATCAGGGTATTGGTTGGGGAGGAAACTAAGACAATCGGAAGTGAGAACAGAGGCCATGGTACATCCATCCCTTAACCCGCTCAAGGCACAAGTGTGGCAGGTGAAAACTACCTCGAAAATCAAAGTTTTTATGTGGAAGGCGCTGAGTGATGCTCTGTCGGTATCAGATGGATTGAAAGCCAGAGGTTTAGTGGTGGATGAGGTGTGTCAGATCTGCGAGGGAAATGGTGAATCAATCAACCATGTTCTCTTTGAGTGTACATTGGCAAGATAAGTATGGGCGCAGACAAATTTCCCTTTTCCAAGTGAAGGTTTTCATACAAGCTCAGTCTTTGTGAATTTCTCATATTTGTTCCAATGCCAAAAGGACCAACGGATTCCGGTGGAGATAAGGAGAAGCTTTCCATGGATCGTGTGGCAATTATGGAAAAATCGCAATGCTTATATTTTCGAGGGAAAGGCTTATACAGCCACACAAACAGCAGAGAAAGTATGGGATGATTCGAATCACTGGTTTGTGGTGCAAGAGAGACACGACATCGAACGAGTGGAAGGCCACTCTGGTGGTGTCGCCAAAAACCGGAGATGGATTCCTCCTGATTTAGGATATGTCAAATGCAACATAGCGGTTGCGTGGTCAAGAAGGAAACACCTCTGTGGTGCGGCATGGATTGTTCGCAATGCCGAAGGTAATGTGCTCCTACATAGCCGGAGAGCTTTTGGAAATATTGATAATTTACGAGAAGCAAAGGCAACTAGTCCTTAATGGGCAATTGAAAGAATGTGTAGTCATCGGCTGGAGAAAGTGTTGTTTGAAACGGAAGCAACGGATATAGCGGATGCTATTCAACGTCCTCAAGCGTGGCCGGCATTTAGAGGCCAGGTTGCAGAGTTTAGAGAAGCCTTACAGGGGATTGTGGAATGGAATTGGACAAAGGAGAGCCATATGACTAACCTACCTGCTTTCAAGATGGCTAGGAGTGTCATAAATGAAGATAGAATCCAATCCTATGTGGCTCAGGGAGAACCAGTTTGGCTGCGCGAACTTTTGCAGTCTGAAAAACCGAACACTGATGTGTGAGGATGTTTCTTTGATATAACAAAAGCTGTCTGGAAAACCGAACACTGTTTTGTGTGAGGTTGGTTTTCGATGTAACAAAATAATGTTTGTCTCGGTTTGGTTTGAAATTTAATAAAAGTTTTCAGTGTTAAAAAAAAATACATTTTCTTTTATATATAAATCTAATTCTAAAATTAGATATTAATTTAGGTTTCAAAAGATTTTCTTAATATATAGGTTATATTTAATTTAAAATTTAAAATATTTTCAAAAAATTGCGATTTTAAATTTAATTATAAAAATTAGATATTAATTTAAATTGTTTTTAGACTTCCTCAAATATAATTTAGATTTAATTTAACATTTGAAATCTAAATAATATTTTCATAATGACACATATGATTAAAAAATATATTCTTGTATTTTTTTTAATCATAATTATTCAGTCTAAAATTTCACATATTAAAAATTAATAACTATTTATATTACATGGTAATTTGATGGGGCGAATTAGTTTTGTTTTTTTAATAATTATGTTTTTATGTGGATTAAGTTATCAAAACATTCAAAATTTTAAGCTAAAAAGTATTTTAAAATTAATAAATATTTATATTATATAGTAATATGAATATACATAATATAATTATGTTTTCTAACCACAATCATTTTCGGATTAATAGAATGAACGAGTTAGAATAGAATTATATTTTTATAATAACTGTATTTTTACAATTAATAGAATGATCGGGTTAAAATTATGTTTTTATGATTGTAGTTATAATAATACTAAAAAAAATTATATCTAAACAACAAAAATAAATCTTTGTCACTTGTTAGAAAAATTATATTCCAAAAAAATTTAAATTACATTAAAATCTTGATTAATAAAAAAAAATTCCAGTGCATCAGCACAGGGTAAAAAATAGTAAATATTTTAAATGAAGAAAAAAACATTTACAACCCAAACCAAAATCAAACCAAACTACAAACCCAGTTAGCTTTTATCGGGTTAGAAGTTAGATACTTTTAAATTCTCATCCGAATATAAAAATATTTTGATTTTGTCCGATCAAATCCCCCAAATACAAACAAATCATCCATCAGAATACAACTGTTCATTTGTATACTCTCCGCGCCGAGATTTCGAATTTTTCCAAAGATGTAATGCTTAACACTCACATTTGCTCCCTGAGAAGAACAAAAAGTTGTGTTTTTTTCTTCTCTGTCCTGAAAAGAAATCTCTTTTCGCCTAGAAATTTCTAGGGTTTGGTTGAAGATCTTTCGACATTGCCGATTCCTGTATTTTTCTTCTCGAAGCTTCCAGAGGAAAGAAGTGTGGAGTAGAAGATGCTCTGTGGAAAGAAAAAAGATATTAGCGGCTTAAGAGATGGTGTTACATTTGTCAGATTTAGGACCGAGCAGCAACAATGATCAGGACAAGATGGGTAAAGTTTGGTTCTTTTTCCTTTCAACGAAATTTCTGCGTATGGGATATTTTCGTGACAGAGAGCTTGCAAAGTTGAAGTTTTTATGTGAGAGGAAAGTGGGACTCGAAATAAATTTTAGGGATTTTTGTGATTCTGGTCTTGGAAATACAAAAATCATACTGCGAAATCTTGAAACTTTCAAATAATTTGTGATGTTTTTGTTTAGTCTTCTTTTTTTTTTGGTGAAAGTTTTTGTTTAGTCTTGTCTATATACAAATACCTCTCATATTCCTACATGTTTTAACGCAGGTTACATTTCAATGAAGAAGCATCAGCACCCAAGATCAGAAGACTATGGTGGTGATGATGACAACACCGGTAACTTCAGTTCTGTTCTATCTTGTTGTATTGTCCAAGATTACTTGCTTTGGTGAGGTTTTAAAACTAAATATCAAAGATTTTGACATGTTTGGTTTGTTTCCACTGATACAGAACTTGCGAGAAAGAAGAAAGCTAAGATGAACAAGTCAGAAGCAGAAGCTGATTCTTCTTCATCAGACCACTCTTGTTTTGTGGCCCTTGTCACGGCTTCTAATCTACACACAGATGCTCTGGTGCTCATACTTTTTTTGTTGTTGCATAGTTTGGTTAAGTCACTTTCTAAACCAAAACATGCTAACAGTTATTGTTGTTCAGTCTGAGACAAAACCTGTTGAAATCAAATCAAAAGTTAATTTCAATATGGTTTTGGTTCGATTTTCTAAGACATATATGGGTAAATGTATGCATTTTCTAAATTTGTTTTTAGTTTCGTTTGGTTTACTTTGGCGTGTATAATGAAGTAAAACCAAATTTCATTTCGATTCTGTTTGGTTTGCTTTGGATTACATTGATTTGGCCTATTTGCTTATTAACTATTTCATGATACTAAAGAAAGTGACTTTTGCTAAATCATTATTAAGTTGCTTAGTCATGACGCTAAGACAAAGTGTTATACAGCTTGGTGTCATGAGAAAAGACTGAAAATGTCTGAATCTTTTTTTTTTGTTTGGCAGTATCTTCCAAAAGATTTCACAAGCTCAAATGTTCTTAAAAGGGAATGCCGCAAGATTGTTTTAACAGATGGAGGAGAAAGATCCTGGGCACTGGATCTGAGGTTCAACAAATCATGTGATAGTTTCTACATAACGCGAGGTTGGAGAAGTTTCTGTGAAGAAAATGGTAGAAAAGAAGGAGGCTTCTTTGTTTTCAAACTAGTTGGAAACAGTGAAACGCCTTTTCTCAGTTTCTGTTCCACTGAATCTTTCAATGATGGAACAAACAAGAACAGTAAAGAATCGTGTATGGAGTTGGAAAGAAAGAAGAATCATCTGAGATGTATAGATTCAACTTCACCAATCGAAAACCGATTCGTGACATTGACACTTCCACAGTGCAGCCTCAGAGACAGTAGAATTGTGAGCTCATCAATCAACTCTTGTTTTAGAAGATTAGCTAATTTTATCACACTTATATTCTCCGCTTAAATTTTTTCCAGTTTATTCCATTGCCATTCCTGAGAGAAAATGACTTGGACAAACCTCGGTTGATAACTCTGTTGGGAAAAGATGGCACAAAGCAGGTGGCAGATCTTCGACGGGACGGAAGTGGAAGAATGAGATTGACAAAAGGCTGGAGAGAGTTTGCTAAAGCAAACGGCTTAAAGGCAGGCGAATCCTTCACGTTGGAGTCAATCTGGAAAGACAAAACTCCTATGCTCAGATTGGTCCATACAGATTCTAGCAGTGATGGAAGGCAACAAAGACAATGCTATTCAAAAGCTAGCGAGAAAGAGTCTGTTTCCACAGAGAGTAGAAGAGAAAAAGCAAGCAAGAAAGTGTCTCCTCTTAGCAGTGGTAAACAGATCAGCAAAGAGGAGAGAAAGAAGAATCATCTGAGATTTAGAGATTCACCTTCACCAAGCCAAAACCCATTTGTGACGTTAACAGTTACACATGACAGCCTCAGAAATTGTAGACTTGTGAGTTCATAAATCAAATTTTGTTTCAGAGCGTTAATTAGTTTGATCACTTTCACTCATGTATATATATATATATTAAAACGACGTGAAAAAACTCCTCCGTTTGAATCTTTTCCAGCATCTTCCACTGTCTTTCATGAGAAAAAATGGCTTGGACAAATCTGGGATGATAACTCTGTTGGGTAAAGATGGTACAAAGTGGCCGGCAAATCTTCTACGAGAAAACGCCACAGGAAGAATGAGTTTGGGAAAGGGCTGGAAAGATTTTGCTATAGCAAACAGCGTAAAGGCGGGTGAATCCTTCACACTGAAGTCACTTTGGAAAGACAAAACTCCTATGCTTAGTTTGGTCCATACAGATTCTAGCAGTGATGGAAGGCAACAAGGACAATGCTATTCAAAAGCTAGCGAGAAAGAGTCTGTTTCCACAGAACCTAGCGGTGAGAACAAGACCCAAGGAGCCAAGAACAATAGAGAAGAGAAGAGACATTCATCTTCAGGAATCGGAAATCAGTTTGTGACATTAACACTCAAACCTGAAGATGTCAGAGACTGTAAACTAGTAAGTCTTTCATTCTTGGTCGAAGTGGGTTAGTTTCTGTCTTGATTCTATTATGTGTTTATTGAAATCCTTTGCAGATTCTTCCAAGTCAATTCATGAAGGCTAATGGCATCAACAAGCTTGGGAAGATAACTATGTTGGGCAAAGATGGAACGAAGTGCTCGGCTTATCTATTGTCAAGAGATGGATTCATGGCTTTGGGACTTGATTGGAGTGGCTTTTGTGAGGCTAATGGCGTCAAGACAGGAGAGTCTTTCACTTTGGAGTGTATCCATAAGCAAGTCACAACTCCTGTGTTTAAGTTTTTTTCAAACTCTTGAGATTAAGACGAAAACAAAATGACTGATCAAAAGCATGTAAAGTCAAGTGTTTACAAACTTTGCCTTTTTGTGAAGTTAAAGAAGCTAACCAATATATGTATGTGTTTTCGGAGTTTAAAGAATCAATTTTTGGACTTTATGTTAGTTTTATTATGAAAATCATATAATAAACGAAGATTTGATTGTTCATCATCCGTCTCCAAAATTTCTAGGGATTTTGTTGTGTGTTTCCGACAGTAACGATTTCGCTCATTCTCTGAAAAGAACAAATCTTGGGCTTCTTATGAAGTACGTCGAATCCAACGCTTCCCTCATCGATCTCGTACTCACTGTCGGCTGAAAATAGTTCGCTGTGACGCTCATGATCTTCGAATCCGCAAAGTCGTCGTTTTCCTCAGACATGGAAGGAGATATGATGTTCCAGGTCTCAAATTTAGGACCCAACTGCTCTGAGATTCGAGACGTACCTGCTACAATCAACAACATCGGTATGATTTTACACTTTGGGATCATAAGAACTGCAAAGCTTTTTTCCGGAAGACGAAACTGTGAGTGGAATTCAAATTAAAAAAAAAAAAGGTAATTTCTTTTTGTTGTTTTAGGTAACATTTCGATGAAAAACAATCACCACCCAAGAAAAGAAGCAAGCTTTATATCAAGTCATGGTGATGATCTTGACAACATCGGTATGTCCACTTCTTTTCATCAGACTATTTGCCTTGTGAGGGATTGTTTCAAGAAAATAAAAAGCATCTGAGTGAGCTTTAAATGTGGAGTGTTTTCTGATGCAGAGTTCACAAGAAAGAAGAAAACGAAGAAGAACAACCCAGAAACTGAAGCATTTTCTACATCAGACCACTCTTGTTTTGAAGCCCATGTCTCAGCTACGAATGTACGTACAAATTTTTTCTTTACTTCAAGGGTTTGCATTCTCTCGTTAGCTGATTGAACTGTTTGTTTCTAGGATTAGGCATTTCTTTTTTGGTTTATAGAATTTCAAATTTTTCTTTACTTCAAGGGTTTGCATTCTCTTGCTAGCTGATTGAACTGTTTGTTTCTAGGATTAGGCATTTCTGTTTCCGTTAATCATGAAACAAGAAAAAGTGCTGTGTAGCTGGAGAAAATGCCTGAACCTTTTTTGTCCAAGTGATACGCAAACGGGTCCTTAGTGAGCTTTTGTTTCTAGGCATGGACATGTCGGTTTTGGTAACAAGTTCAGTTTGAATATAAAGGTTAAAACAGCAAGGATTTGATTTTAGTTTTTCGTTGATCGTAACACTTATGTAGTAGCTATATGTATTTGGTCAGATTACTTGAGTTTCAGTGAAAATTTGCTGAATTAAAGCCATATTTCGTTTTGGTTTTGTTTGATTTGATTTGGTATACTTTCCCACTCTTAGACTTGTTTGTTTCATATAGAATCATGAAGCTAACCAAATATCGACTTGATCTGTCCCTTTCTTTGATCTCATGAGGAGGAAATGCTTATAATTTATGACCCTTTCCTTCACCGGTTCATCTGATCTGTCTCTTGTGTTCATTTAGTGTTTGGACTTTCGTCTACAAGATTCCACAAGCTCAGATGCTATTAGAAAAAAATGTGACAAAAAGTATAGTTCGAGACGGATGGTAAAATCATATGAGTCAAGTGAGAAACGATTTGTAACATTTACACTTGCACCTGTCGATGTCAGACATTGTAGACTGGTAAGATTGTCATACCAACTGTTGATACACAGGGTTAGTTTTCTCTATTCTACTCTTATTTGGTTTTGACACCTGTTCAAATCTCTTCAGCGTCTTCCAATGCAATTCTCCAGAGAGAATGGCATCAATAAGCCTGGCAAGATATATCTGTTGGGTAATGATGGTTCAAAGTGGCTGGCAAACCTTCTCCTGGAAAGCAGAGGAAGAATGACAGTGGGAGACGGCTGGAAATCATTTGTCAAGGCAAACGGCTTAAAGATCGGCGAATCCTACACACTCGAGTTGAAATGGGAAGACACAACTCCTGTGCTCTGTTTGTGCCCTGAAGAGTATAGCATGTACAGAGGAGCAGGAGGGTGTTCAGAAGCAAGCGAGAAAGAGTCTCTTCTCATACAACCTAGCAGCGGAAACGAAATTATGACAATTGAAAACATAGATGAAAATAGGAAAGAGGAGAGCAGCTCATGGGAGAAAGAGAAGAATCATCTGAGAAGGAGTGATTCAACGTCAACAAGCCAAAACCGATTCCTGACACTAACAATTACACCTGACAGTCTCAGACATGGTCGACTGGTAAGTTCAACAATCAACTCTTGCTCATTTTATCGCATAACAAAAGGGTATATGAATTTTTCGTTCATATCTTTTCTAGCGTATTCCATTGCAATTCATGCGGGAGAATAGGATGAACACGCCTGGGGATATAACTCTTTTGGGTAAAGATGGTGCAAAGTGGCTGGTAAGCCTTTTACTGGAAAGAAGAGGAAGAATGAGTTTGGGAAAGGGATGGAAAGATTTTGCTAAAGCAAATGGCTTAAAGACGGGCGATTCCATCACGTTGGAATCAATTTGGGAAGACGCAACTCCTGTGCTCAGTTTGCTCCGTATAGAGCCTAACAGTGATGGACGGCAACAAGGTGAGTACTCAATAGCAAGAGAGAAAGAGACTATTTTCACAGAACTTAGCAGTGGAGAGAGCAGAAAGTATCCTCTTGGAAGGCTAGATTCGTCTTTAGCAATCCAGTCAACAGTTTCACCTGAAATAGGTGTTTCTCATCATCTTCGAATTGGCGAGATCGCCGTTTTCCGACATGAAGGAGATATGATGTTCCAGGTCTCAGATTTCGGACCCAGCTGCTGTGAGATTCGAGATGTACTAACTCCAATCAGAAACCATTATCAGGAAAACATTGGTAAGATTGATTATAGCTATCCTTCGAACTGAAGTTAATCTGGATGATGGAAAACAATTTTAGGGGTTTTTTTTTTCCTGATACAGGTAGCATTTCGTTAAAAATGCATCCGCACTTAAGAAAAGAAGCAGGCTTTTCATCATATGATGGTGATGATCAGTACAACATTGGTATATTCAGTTGAGTTCTCATCTATTTTCTTGTAGTATCATATCTAGATGATCTAAAATCACTTGCTTTGGTGGGGTATTTCTTATACAGAGCTTCCGAGAAAGAAGAAAGTGAAGTTGAACAACCCAGGAACAGAAGCAGTTTTTTCATCAGACCGCTCTTGTTTTGTAGCACACGTGACAGCTTCAAATCTACACACAAATGCTCTGGTGATTATATAATTCAGTTTACTTTACTCCATTGAAATCTCTTGCTAAAATTTTTTGCATACTCATTAGCTGATTTCTAGGGGTAGGAATTTCAGTTTTGGTCAGTCATGAAAGTAGATAAAGTGTTCTACAGCTTTTGTCACATGAGGAAATGCTTAAAATACCTGAACCCTTTTTGTCCAATTGATGTGCAAATTGGTCCTGAATGAGAACTGTTTCCTCCTAGGGATAGGCATTTTGGTTTTAAGATACCTAATCAACAATATAATTTGGTTTTCGTTGATTGTAACATCTTACGTAGCTATATGCATTTTGTCAGTTTGATTAACTCTGGGTTCTGAGCATATTTGCTGAAGTAAGACCAATTATCATTTTGGTGTTGTTTGGTTGATTTGATATGGTTTGCTTTAATTTGGTTTATTTTCCCCCTCGTAGATGTGTTTCATTATAAAATCACGACGCTTACTAAATTGCCATCGTATTGATTCCTTATATTTAGTGATCCTTCTTTCGTTGACCAGTCTTGAGTGATTTGATCTGAAACTTGTGCATATACAGCCTCTTCCACAAGAGCCTCTTCCACAAGATTTCTCAAGCTCAGATGGTCATAACAGGAAATGTCCCAAGAATAGTCCGACACAGATAATCTCATCATATTCTTCAAACGAGAAGCACTTAGCAACATTTACACTTGCACCTGTCAATGTCAGAAATTGTAGACTGGTAAGATCGTCATATCAACTTCTTACTCAGAGGGTTAGTTTTCTCTATTCTACTCGTGTTGGTTTTGACTCCTGTTCAAATCCCTACAGCGTCTTCCAATGCAATTCACGAGGGAGAATGGGATAAACAAGCCTGGGAAGATATATCTGTTGGGAAAAGATGGTTCTAAATGGCTGGCAAATCTTCTCCAGGAAAGCAGAGGAAGAATGACTTTAGGAGACGGCTGGAAAAGTTTTGTTACAGCAAATGGCTTAAAGACGGGTGAATCTTTCTCACTCAAGTTGAATTGGGAAGACACAACTCCTGTGCTCAGTTTGTGCCCTGCAGAGTATAGCATTGACAGTAGAGAAGAAGGAGGGTGTCCAGAAGCAAGGGAGAAAGAGCCTCTTCCCATAAAACCTAGCAGCGGAAAAGAGATCAGCATATCCTATAACAACGAAGATGAGAACAGCAAAGAGGAGAGCACCTCTTGGGAGAGAGAGAAGAATCAACTAATATCGAGCAATTCAAGTTCACCCAGCCAAAACCGATTTCTGACATTAACTATCACACCTGACAGTCTCAGACATGGTAGACTGGTGAGTTCATCAATCAAACTTTATTCGTTTTATCGCATAACGTAATGGCGTCTTTTAATTCTCTGTTCATATCTGTTCTAGCGTCTTCCATTGCAATTCATGAGGGAGAATAGCATGAACACGCCTGGAGATATAACTCTTTTGGGTAAAGATGGTGCAAAGTGGCTGGTAAGCCTTCTACTAGAAAGAAGAGGAAGAATGAGTTTGGGAAAGGGATGGAAAGATTTTGCTAAAGCAAACGGCTTAAAGACGGGCGATTCCATCACGTTGGAGTCAATTTGGGAAGACGCAACACCTGTGCTCAGTTTGCTCCGTATAGAGGCTAGCAATGATAGAGGGCAAAGTGAGTTTTCAAAACTGTCTCTTTCCACAGGACGTAGCAGTGGGAACAAGACAAGGAAAGCAGAGAACAATAGAGAAGGGAGTAGCTCAGGGGAGTTTGAGAAAAGTAAAGATCTTCTTAGAAGAGTGCATTCATCTTTAGCAATCCAAAACCGAATCGTGATGTTAACACTTACACCTGAAGATGTCAGAGATTGTAAGCTGGTAAGCTCATCAACGTCTCTTGCTTTAGAGGTGGGTTAGACTTTCTGTTTTGAATTCTAATGGCTAACGAAATGTGTTTGTTCAAATATCTCACAGCATCTTCCTAGCCAATTCATGAGGACTAATGGCATCACCAAGCCTGGAAAGATAACTATGTTGGGTAGAAGCGGGATGAAATGGTTTGCATATTTACTATCAAACGACGGAGCTGTCGCTTTAGGAAATGGTTGGAAAGGTTTTTGTGAGGCTAATGGCGTGATGGTAGGAGAATCTTACATTTTGGAATACATTCCCAGAGAAGACACAGATCATGTATTTAAGTTTTGCTCCAACTTCGGAGACCAAATACATAACTGGTAACTAGTACCAAGTTTTTTCAAAACTTTTTTTATGTGGTTATAGCACGGAACGATGCTCAAGGTATATATATATGGATACATTTGGAATCGACTTGGTTTGGTGTCTTGACCATGAGTAGCTTTCTAACAATGGTTTCTTAAGGAGAACCTGTTTTATTTTATGGCACACATGAGATTACCATTAAGATGGTAAGGTTCACCTTTGACTTTGAGTCTAGCGTGAGCAGAAAATGCAGGCGAGAATCTTAACACTCCAAGCTTTTTATGGACATCCAAAATCCACAAAATTCTTGACTGTGGCTAATGCTGGTACTATTGTAGCATCCATTGACACTGAAACTCCATGGCCAGGGTTTGAGATGCATCTTCTTGCTGAGTTAGACACCATCTGTTGTTTACATGAAATGTTTGGAGTGTTATTGCTCTACAATCGTTGCTGCTTCATCTGTTTGTATTAATCACGATTTTGAGGACGATGCAGCAAGAAAAGTAAACTCCTTTGCTTATTCTTCAGAGACTTTTATTGCCTTCATAGGTTTTAGAGATTATTTCCTGCGTTTACTTTTGCTTCATAACTGGATTAAAGAAATGAATCTTCTGATCAAGTTCTGCTTGAAAACAGAGAGACAGTGTCCTTGTGTTATAATTCGGATTTTTTAGTTAACGAAAAAAAACATGCCTTCGTAACAATTAACAATTTTTGCCACCGCCAAAATCCGTTAGAGTCAAGACGAAAAGGAAAATATTTTTCTTTTGTGTTACCTGAGAAATTTTCTAGGGTTTTTTTTTTTTTTTTCTTGTTTGGTTTCTGTTGAAGTGCTTTCAACAATGGCGAAATCAACGCTTCTTCTCCACCCGCAATTCTTCCACACACTTGTCCCTGGCTTCCACACTCACCTCGTAACCACTCTGTCTACTTCTCTCTTTTGTCCCTCTCCGAATCAGCTTATTCAGTGGAGAGATTCTTCTGATTCATTTATTTTGTTTGTAGATGATTCCTGTAGACTTCTTCTCTATGTATGTTGAAGGAAAGAGGAGTGTGGAGAAGACGACGGCTGAGCTGAAATCTGACTCGTCGGACATAACCTGGAGAGCGAAGATGACTGGTCGGAGACTCAGTGACGGCTGGGAAGAGTTTGCCGTCGCTAATAACTTTCGAACCGGCGACGTCGTCCTTGTCAGATATGAAGGAGATTTGGTCTTTCATGTTTCGGATTTAGGACCAAATTGCTGTGACGTAACGTTTCCAAGTAACAAGGATCAGAACAACAACAACTGTAAGTCTTTCTTCTGCGTTTGGACAAGAATCAATGTTTTCAAAGACGAAACTGTATTAGAAAAATCAATTTGGGCGGTTTTTTTTTTCTTTTTCTTCTTCTTCTAAATCAGGTGACTTTTTATTGAAAAAGCATAAGCATCCAAGAACAGATGTTGGTGATGATGAAGGTAATTTTACTTGTATGAATCTTTTTAAAAAGAAGATTGTATATGAGGTTGTAACATGTGGGATGTTTATGAAATAGAGGTTCCTAAGAAGAAGAAAGTCAAGAAGAAGAATAGTGTTGATGAAACAGAAGCGGATTCTTCTTCATTAGACAACTCTTGTTTTGTGGCCAATGTCACGGCTTCGAATCTATGCACAGATACACTGGTATTGTAGTTTGATCACTCACTACATGAACGACTGTTTCTGTGTTTCTATTTTGTTTTGGTTCGGTCTGATAAAACGTCTTAGGTGACTATATATTTTAGCTTCAAGTTGGATTTGGTGTATCCTTGTTTACTTTGGTGTGATAGAAAACTTGCCGAAATAAAACTGGATTTATGCATGGTTTCATTTGGATTGGTTCGGTTTGTCCTATTTGCTTACTTTCCTGCATATAGAATCATGTAACTAAAAAAAAGGTCTTGTTAATGTTAGTTATATATTATTGCTAAGTTGTTTAGTCATAAATCTAAACACAGACTCATGAGCAAATGCTGAACCTTTTTTAATATGCCTCTTTTGTTAATTTGGTGTTTGCAGTATCTTCCACAACATTTCACAAGCTCAAATGGCATTACAATAAAATGCCGCAAGATTGTTTTAATAGATGGAGGGGAAAGATCATGGGCATTGGATCTGATGTTGGACGAAACATCTGATACTTTTTACATAAGCCGAGGTTGGAGACGTTTCTGTGAAGAAAACGGTAAAAAAGCAGGAGGCTTCTTTACGTTTAAACTAGTGGGGAACGGGGAAACTCCTGTGCTCAGTTTCTCCCCTACAGAATCTATCGATAATAGAAGGCCTAGAGACTGTTCTGAAGCTACCGGCAGAGTATCTCTTTCCACAGAACTTAGTAACAAGGAAGCGGACATAGAAGGGGAGAGGAATGAAGACGAGTGCAGAATACTGGAGACAGAAAAGAAGAAACGGAGAGTTTTATCATATGCATCATATTCACCATGTCGTAAGCGATTCGTAACATTTACACTTCCACCTGATTATGACAGAATTCGTAGATTGGTAAGTTCATCAAAAAAACATTTCTTGCTCCTGCACTTACTGGTTTTGACTGCATATTTATTCGTCCTCTGTTCAAATATCTACAGACTCTTCCAAAGCCATTCGTGATGGAGAATGGCATCAACAAGGGTGGGGAGATATATCTGTTGGGTAAAGATGGTAGAAAGTGGCCAACAAGCCTTCTGCTGGACAAGACAGGACAAATGAGGTGGAGAAAGGGTTGGAAAGAATTTGTTAAAGGAAATGGCTTAGAGTCAGGCTTCACGCTCAAGTTGATATGGGAAGGCACAACTCCTGTGTTTAGTTTGTGCTCTGCAGAATCCGCCAGTGACAGAGAGGAAAAAGAGTTTTCAAAAGCTGTCGAGAAACAGTCTATTTTCAAAGATCCTAGCAAAAAAGATAAGATCGGAAAAGATGAGAATAAGAAAGAGGAGAGGAGGTCAATGGAGAGAGGGAAGGATCATCTGAGAGGGAGGAATTCAACTGCATCGAGCCAAGATCAATTTTTGTCATTTACAATTACACCTTATAGTGTTGAAAAGTGTATACTGGTAAGTCTATCAAACAACTTTGGTTTCAGGTGTTGTTAGTTTATTGTACCTTTTAATGGTTTTGACACTTTTTCTTTTCTGCTTAAATCTTCCACAGCCTCTTCCAAGGAAATTCACGAGAGAGAATGGCATCAACAAGCCTAGGATGATTACTCTTCTGGGCAAAGACGGTATAAAGCAGCAGACGAAATTGCTATTCAGCAAAGGAAAAAAAGCGGCTTTGGGAAACGGATGGAAATCTTTTGTTAAAGCAAACGGCTTAAAGATTGGCGACTCTTTCACGCTCAAGTTGATTTGGGAAGAAACAACTCCTATGCTCAGCTTGTGCCATGGAGAATGTAGCATTGACCGAGGAGAATCTTCAGAAACAGACCAGAAAAATTCTCTTCCCATAGAACCTAGTAGCTGTGAGAAATTAAGCAAAGACGAGAACAGTAAAGTGGAAAACAAGGAGACCATGTCAATGGAGAGAGAGAAGAATCATCTGAGAGGAAGGGAGTCAACTCCATCGAGCCAAAAACAATCTGTGACATTAACAATGACACCTTATAGTGTCAAAAAGTGTATACTGGTAAGAACATCAAACAACTTTTTCTCAGGGGGTTGGTTTCTTTACTGTAACCACTTTTTTAATGGTTTTGACACATTTTTTTGCTTATTATTGAAATTTTCCATAGCGTCTTCCAAAGGCTTTCACGAGGGAGAATGACATCAACAAGCATGCGATGATTATTCTGTTAGGGAAAGATGGCATTAAACATCAGACGAAATTGCTGTGGGACAAAGGAACAGGAATAATGACTCTGGGAAAAGGCTGGATGGATTTTGCTAAAGCAAACGGGTTAAAGACTGGCAACTCCTTCACGCTCAAGTTGACATGGGAAGACACAACTCCTGTGCTCAGCTTGTGCCATGCGGAATGTAGCATGGACAGAGGATCAGGAGGAGAATGTTCAGAAACAGACCAGAAAAAGTCTCTTCCCATAGAACCTAGCAGCTGTGAGAAAATAAGCAAAGACGAGAACAGTAAAGAGAAAAACAACAATGAGGCAAATAAGAAAGAGGAGACCATGTCAATGGAAAGAGAGAAGAATCATCTGAGAGGGAGGGATTCAACTCCATCGACCCAAAAACAACTAATGACATTAACAATTACACCTTCCAGTTACTCAAAGTGTAAACTGGTAAGTTTATCAAACAACTCTTGTTTCAGAATTCAGATGATTAGTTTTTTCTCTTGTACTCTTATTGGTATTATACGTATACTTCTTTCAAATCTTTTCCAGACTCTTCCAGCACAATTTGCGAGAGAGAATAGCTTGAACAAGCCTGGAATGATAGATCTGTTGGGAAAAGATGGTAAAAAGTGGATGGTAAATCTTGTACAGGATGGAGACGGAAGAATGAATTTGGGAAACGACTGGAAAGAATTTGCTAAAGCAAACGACTTAAAAACAGGCGAGTCTTTCAAGATGGAGTTAATATCAGAAGACGGAACTCGTATGCTCAAATTGGTCCATTCAAACCCTAACAGTTCAAAAGCCAACGAGAAAGAGTCGACAGAACCTAGAAGCAGAGATTCATCCTCAGCAATCCAAAACCGAACCTTGACATTAACACTCACACCTGAAGACGTCAGAGCCTGTATACTGGTAAGTTCAAAGTTCATCAAACAACTCTTGTCTTAGAGATGAGTTAGTTTCTGTCTTGAATCTATTTGGTAACCAAATGTGTTTGTTCAAATATATTTTTGCAGCATCTTCCAAGTCAATTCATGAAGGCTAATGGCATCAACAAACTTGGAGAGATAACTATTTTAGGTGAAAACAAAGTGGAATGGTCTGCATATCTATTGTCCATCAGAGATGGAACTGTTGCTTTAGAAAATGGTTGGGATGAGTTTTGTAAAGCTAATGGCGTGAAGTTAGGAGAATCTTTCACTTTGGAGTTCGTTTATGAACTTAACACAAGCATTGTACTCAAGTTTTGTTCTCGGTAGACTTAATACGAAATTGACTTTTAAAAATATAGAGGAAGTATCCCGCTAACGGTCGGATATTATTTCTAAGTGTCAACTGTAAAGATACTTACAGGCGGGGGCGGAGCAATTGTAGTAGAAGTGGGGTCTAGTGCCTCATTCTTTTTTATTTTTTTAAATATTTAATTAAATTTAATTAAAAATAAATATAATATAGTGGTAAAAATAAAGTGTTCCATATTAATAATTTATGCTCCCAACTAAACTTTTTTCTAGATCCGCCACTACTTATAGGTCCAAATAAAATTCATAATCCGTTATTTACTATACCACAGAGGCACATAAGATGAAATTTGGTATACATTAGAGAGAAGTTTACTAGGGTTTTCTTTATTGTGCTTCGACAATGGCGAAAGATAACATGCTTCTTCTTCATCGCCTCATCGGCAATGCTTCCACACACTTTCCTGGCTTCCACACTTGACTCGTAACTTGTATTAATCATATTACTTTAAGTCAATCTCGCCGGAGATTATTTGGATAGAATCTGAAGGCCCAAATCAAGCCCATTGTTTATTTCCCTCAGGCTCAATTTAACACAAAAATTAGTTTCTGACTTCGTTTCAATTTCAGGTTCGATTTTGATTTTGATTTTGATTTTGATTCGACTCTCTGTTTTCCATTTTTTTTGTGTGTCACTATTTAGTCCAAACCAACAATGCCTTTGTTTTTCCGTTTATTTACCAATTTGTGCCACTGCCCAAAATCCGTTATTTTGAATTTGGTTGTATTTTAAAGAGAAAATTTCTAAGGTTTATTCTTTCGAGAAAAATGCCAAAAAGTACCTCATTTATTTAATTTTTGGAAGAATCATCCACCAACTTTTAGCGTTGCCAAAAACTCACACAAACTATTTTTTCGATGCATAAAAATACATAAGTTTTTTAAAGTTTCATTTCCCCCTCTAATTTCACGGCCATTAACATACATAACGGAATCAATAAACAGCGTTAATTTTTTGTAGGAAAAAATACTAAAAAAATACATCAACTATTTAATTTTGCCAGAAATTCACACAAACTTTTTGCATTGCCAGAAATCCACACAGACTATTTTTTCAATCTATAAAAATACACAAACTTTTTATAATTCTATTTTTTTTCTCCTCAAGTTTCACGGTCGTTATGTTAGTTTTTTGTAACACGTGCTAACTACATATCATTGTTACCCTTAAAAAATCTTCAAATTGATTTGGGGAAGAAAAATCTACACCCTAATTTTTCTCTCTCTTTTAGAAATTGAGTGAAATCGGTTGAAAAATATGGTTGGTAGTATAAATCGAGTCGGAAACATTGTGTGTTGTGATATGTAAGACTAATAAGAGCAATTCGAGGAGATGATGTATATGTTCTAAACATGATTTATTGCTTTATTGACCATATTTTCAACCGATTTCACTCAATTTCTGAAAAGTAAGAGAAAAAAATTAGAGTTTAGGTTTTTCTTTTTAAAGGTAATAATGATATTAATTTGACAGTAATTAACACGTGTTATAAAAAATTAACGCAGTTTTTTGATTTTGTTATGTCTATAATGACCGTGAAACTTGAGGAGGGAAAATGGAATTATAAAAAGTTTATGTATTTTTATAGATTAAAAAAATAGTCTGTGTGGATTTCTGGCAATGCAAAAAGTTTGTGTGGGTTTCTGGCAAAATTAAATAGTTGATGTATTTTTTAGCATTTTTTTCTAACAAAAATTAACTCTGTTTATTGATTCCGTTATGTCTGTTAACGGCCGTGAAATCAGAAGGAGGAAAATGAAGCTTTAAAAAACTTATGTATTTTTATGCATCGAAAAAATAGTTTTATGGTTTTTGGCAACGTTAAAAGTTCGTGTGTGATTCTTCCAAAAATTAAATAAATGAGGTATGTTTTGGCATTTTTCCCATATTCTTTCTTCTGCTTCGACAATGCCGAATGGCGAAACCAACGCTTCTTCTTCACCCGCAATTCTTCCACACTCTTGTTCCTGGCTTCAACACTCACCTCGTAACTACTACCATGCCTCCTTCTCTCTTTTTTTCTGTCTCCGAACAGCTTAACTCACAGATATTGATCTTTATTTTGCAGACGATTCCCTTAGAGTTCTTCTCCAAGTATATCGAAGGAAAGACCAGTGTGGAGAAGACGACGGCTGAGCTGAAATCTGACTCGTCGGACATAACCTGGAAAGTGAAGATGACTGGTCGGAGACTCAGTGACGGCTGGGAAGAGTTCGCCGTCGCTAACAATTTTCGAACCGGCGATGTTGTCGTTGTTAGATATGAAGGAGATATGGTCTTCCATGTTTCGGATTTAGGATCCAGTTGCTGTGAGATTCAAGACATTCCGCCTTTGAGCAACAACAGTTATGGTCAGGACGACATTGGTAAGTGACTTCTGCGATTTAAAGATGTCATTGTAAGACAAAACTGCAAAATCTGGTAATTTTAGTGATCTTTTCTTCTCCAAATCAGGTAAAAATTTGTTGAAAAAGCGTCTGCACCCAAGAACACAAGTGGTCTTTTCATCAAACGATGTTGATGATGAGGATAACTTAGGTAATTTTCACTTCTCTTGTATTGTATGAGTCCAATCTAAGTATCAGAGGTTTAAACATGTAAGATAATTATGATACAGAGATTCCCGTAAAGAAGAAAGCGAAGAAGAACAGTCCAGAGGCAGAAGAAGTTTCTTCTTCCTCATCAGACGACTCATGTTTTGTGGCCATGGTCACGCCTTCGAGCCTACGCACAGATAAACTGGTGATTGCTCTACTCCTGCATTTGCAAAAATCTCATACTTATAATATTTTTGCATAACTGTGGTTTCATGACTCACTAAATGAACGGCTGTTTCTAGTGTTGGGGGCTTAGATTTTAGGAGAAAATTTGTTGAAGTGAAATCAAAAGTTAGTTAATTGCAATTCGGTATTGGTTTGATAAGAAGTGTTAGATTACTGTATGTATGTTAGAAGTTGGATTTGGTTAATCTTTGCTTACTTTGGTGTGGGAGAAAACTTGCAAAACTGTTCGTTTTGATGCTGTTTGGTCTAGTTTGCTTTCATGTGGATTGGTTTGATTTGCCCTTATTCACCTACTATTCCTATTTTCATGCCTATAGAATAATGTAACTAAAGAAAGAGTTTGTCCACGTTTGCTATATTATTTTTTGCAAGTGTTTTCTAAGTAAATTAATCTAACTCTTGTGTTAATCTGGTGGTTGCAGTATCTTCCACAATATGTCACAAACTCAAGTGGTATTACAAGAAAATGCCGCAAGATTGTTTTAACAGATGGAGAGGAAAGATCATGGGCATTGGATCTGAGGTTCAGCAAGTCATCTGATAGTTTTTACATTAGCCGAGGTTGGAGAAAATTCTGTGAGGAAAACGGTCGAGAAGCAGAATCCTTCTTTATGTTTAAACTAGTGAGAAATGGGGAAACGCCTGTGCTCGGTTTCTGCCCTTCAGAATCTTGTAATGATAAAAGGCAAAGAAACTGTTCAGAAGCTAGCGGGAGAGAATCTTTTTCCACAGAAATTAGCAGCGGGGAAGAGAACATAGAAGGGGAGAGCAGTGAAGACGATTGCAGCTCAATGGAGTCACTCATGGAGACAAAAGAGAAGAAGTGTAGCCTGAAACGAAGAATTTTGTCATGTTCATCATATTCACCACGTTATAAGCGTTTCGTAACATTTACACTTCCACCTGATTATGACAGAATTCGTAGATTGGTAAGTTCATCGAAAACAACTCTTGATTCTTCCCTTGTTGGTTTTGAGTCTTTTGACGCATATTTATTCGTCCTCTGTTCAAATATCTTCAGTGTCTTCCAAGGTCGTTCCTGAGGGAGAATGGCATCAATAAGACTGGGGAGATATATCTCTTAGGTAAAGATGGTAAAAAGTGGCTGACAAACCTTCAACGGGACAAGAACGGAACAATGAAAATGGAAATGGGTTTGAAAGATTTTGTAAAAGCAAACGGCTTAAAGATGAGCGAGTCCTTCACACTGGAGTTGATTTGGGAAGACACAACTCCTATGCTTAGCTTGTGCCCTGCAGAATGTAGCATTGACAGAGGAGCAGGAGGAGAGTGTTCAGAAACAGACCAGGAAAACTCTCTTTCCATAGAACCTAGCAGCTATGAGAAAATAAGCAAAGACGAGAACAGTAAAGAGAAAAACAAGAAAGAAGAAAATAGGAAAGTGAATACCATGTCTATGTTCCATGCAAAGTCTAGCTGTTCAAAACCTAACGAGAAAGAGTCGGTTTCCACGAAACCTAGAAGCAGAGATTCATCCTCAGCAATCCAAAACCGATTCGCGGAATTAACACTCACACCTGAAGATGTCAGAGCATGTAAATTGGTAAGTTCATCATCCAATCTTGTTTCCGAGTTGAGTTAAGTTTCTCTTTCTTATATTCCAATTGGTAACGTAAATGTGTTTGTTCAAATTTCTCCCAGCATCTTCCAAGGCAGTTCATGAAGGCTAATGGCATCGGCAAGCTTGGGAAGATAACTATGTTGGGTAAAGAAGGAACGAAGTGTTCGGCTTTTCTTTTGTCAAGAGATGGATTCGTGGCTTTGGGAATTGATTGGAAATGGTTTTGTGAGGCTAATGGCGTTAGAACAGGAGAGTCCTTCACTTTGGAGTTCATTTCTGAACAAACCAAAACAACTTATGTACTTAAGTTTTGTTCTCGGGAGACTAATAAATACAAAATTTGTTAATTATCAGAAAGTGAGCATTAAATATAGGGAAAATGAAGAAGGTCTACAATAAATAGGATCCATAATAAAGGGAGATTACTTAATTAAACTTTAAGCCTTTATCCAATCAAAAAGAAGAAGCTTTACAATAAATAAGGGTAATGAAGCGTCGTCTTCATTTCTTCAAGTTGGTTCATTACATTCTTTTCTCTAGGAGAGTTAGAGCTTCTGAGGATGGCGAATAAACATTTCTTTAAGCCTCTTCTTCCTGGCTTCCACAGTCACTTGGTACTCTCTCTCTCTCTCTCTATCTCTCTCTCCCTCTCTCACTTTCTCCCTCTCTCCCTTTCTCTCTGTCACTCTTTCTCTCTCTCTCATCAATATCTGTCTTTATCTGGTTTTGTGTTTGCATGTTGCTTCAGACAATTCCTGTAGCTTTCTTCTTGAAGTATATAAAAGGAACAAATGAGCAGAAGAAGACTACGGCGAAGCTGAGATCAGACGCGTCGGACATAACGTGGGAAGTGAAGATAGAAGATGGCCAGAAACTCACTGATGGTTGGAAAGAGTTCGTTCTTGCACACGATCTTAGAGTCGGTGACATTGCCATCTTCAGACAAGAGAAAGACATGGCTTTCCACGTGACACTCATGGGACCCAGTTGCTGTGAGATTCAATATGAGTCTGGTTTAGATGACGAGAACAACCTCGGTGAGCTGTGTTCTCTCTCTCTCTCTCTCTCTCTCTCTCTCTCTCTCTCTCTCTCTCTCTCTCTCTCTCTCTCTCTCTCTCTCTCTCTCTCTCTCTCTCTCTCTCTCTCTCTCTCTCTCTCTCTCTCTCTCTCTCTCTAACTCTGCCCGTGACTCTGAATCTGAGAATGATACTTAAGAAGTAAACTGATTTTGGAACATGCATGTGGAGGTAGAGAGAATCAGTTGACTATTGATTTGCCAATGAGATTTTTTTTTTTTTTGTTATTTTTAGGGAAGATTCCAAAGAAGACGAAAGTGAAGAAGAATCCAAGAAAAGAAACAGAGTCTTCTTCACTAGATCCCTCTTGCTTTGTGGCTCATGTCACGCATGCGAGCCTACGTTATGACTCACTGGTATGTCTTCTCTTAATTTGAAAACATCTCTTATACTAAAATCTGAGTTTGATCAAAATCATGTTGTATTGTAATGAATTTTCAGAATCTTCCGATGAGTTTTGCGAGGGCAAATGGTCTAAACACAAGATGTGGAGAGATTGTTCTAATGAATGATAAGGGTAGATCATGGACTTTAGCTTTAAAACAGAAGAAATGTGGAAGTACTTACATCAGACGAGGGTGGAGAACTTTCTGTAGTGCCAATGGATTTAAGGCTGGAGAGGCATTCACTTTCAAACTGATCCAAAGGGGAAAAGTTCCGGTTCTACGTTTGTCCACCACAGAGTCTGAAGAAGAAGAAGAGAGCTCAGGAGCTGATGAAGTAGAGTCCCTTTCCACAGAACCGGAAAGTGATGAAGAGAGCAACCTCGGTGAGTTGTGTTCCGTCTTGCTCTAACTCTTGACTCTCAGTCATTTAAGAAATGTGCTCAAGTAACTAGAGAAACGTTTAAACTGTAATTTTGGCTTATTTAGGAATATGGATCAGTAAGTAGAGAGAATCAGACTGACCATTATCACTTGGCTTGATTTGCTTCTTTTTCAGCGGAAATTCAGAGAAGGAAAAAACTGAAGAAGAATCCGGAAAGAGAAACTGAGTCTTATCCGCTAGATCCCTCTTATTTTGTGGCTAAAGTCTCGCCTTCGACCCTACGTCAAGACAGACTGGTATTAACTCCGAATTTAAACAAAAGAAAACCTTTTACACTAAGGTCTGAAAATTGTCAAGATCATGTTGTATTGTATATGAATTTACAGAATCTTCCAGTGAGTTTTGCGAGGGCAAATGGTCTAGATACAAGATGGGGAAAGATTGTACTGATGAACGGTAAGGGTAAATCATGGTCCTTACTTCTAAGAGGAAAGACTTATGGAACTGTTATCAGACGAGGGTGGAGAAGTTTCTGTTATGCCAATGGGCTGAAAGCTGGAGGTTTCTACACTTTCAAACTTATCCAAAGAGGAGAAACTCCGGTTCTGAGTTTCTCCCCCGCAGAGTCAGAAGAAGAAGAAGAGAGCTCAGAAGGTGATGAAGTAGAGTCCCTTTCCACAGACTCAGAAAGCGATGAGGAGAGCAAACTCGGTGAGTTGTGTTTCAGTCTTTCTCTAACTCTTTTAAACTGTAGTTTCAAGCTGATTATGCTATTTGGATCTGTAAGTAGAGAGAATCAGTTTGACTAATACAATACCACTTGGATTGATTACCTTTTTTTTTTTCAGAGAAGATTCAAATAAACAAGAATCCAAAAAGAGAAGAAGGAGAGTCTTCTTCACTATATCCCTCTTGTTTTGTTGCTAATGTCACGCATGCGAGCCTACGTTATGACTCACTGGTATTTCTACTCGTAGTTTGAACAAAAGAAAAAGCTCTTATACTATGGACCTATGGTCTAAGTTGATAAAAAAAAATATTCATTTGTATTGTAATGAATTTCCAGTATCTTCCAAGGAATTTTTCACGGGAAAATGGTCTAGACACAAGATGCGGAGAGATTGTTCTGATGAATGAAATGGGTAGATCATGGACGTTAAATTTGAAACGAAAGAATTCATGTGGGACTGCTTATATCAGACGAGGATGGAGAAGTTTCTGTCGTGCCAATGGACTTAGAGCTGGTGATTCCATCACTTTCAAACTGATCCAAAGAGGAGGAACTCTGGTTCTACGATTGTCCCCCACAGATTCCGAAGAAGAAGAAGAAGAAGAAGAAGAAGAAGAAGAAGAAGAGAGCTCAGAAGGTGATGAAATAGAGTCTCTTTCCACAGAACAAGAAAGCGATGAAGAGGGCAACCAAGATGAGAAAAGCTTCAAGAAGCCTAGATTGTTATGGAAAGCGTCATCCACACCATCCCAAAACCGATTTGTGACATTAACTCTTAAGCCTTTCAATCTCACAAAGTATGTAATGGTAAGTTTCATCACTGCAAGCCATTTTGTCTTGTTACAGTCTATCGAGCCTTGAATCCTTTCTTTGAATCGTTGTTACAGTTACTTCCGATACCCTTCACGAGGATGCATGGCATCAATGAGGAAACTAAAATGAGTCTGGTGGACAAACATGGTGTGAGGTGGTCTACGAATCTGCGGTCTGAGATAACAGGTGATAGAATAAGAATGGTAGGAGGTTGGCAAGAGTTCTTCAAAGCAAACTGTGTGAAGATAGGTGAATCGGTCATGTTGAAGCTGATTTGGGAAGGAGACAAAAGTTGTGTCCTTAAGTTCTGCTCTAAGCTGAAGCAAGTGACCAAATGAAACTGTGTATGAGTAATTTCTTTAGCTTTTGTAAGTGCCCAAGACGAATTGGAATGCATCAGTTTCTGGCTTATTATGTGTGTAAGATATAACAACTCAAAAGGTCCAGCCTATTGTCTATTGTAGTATGTTATTTGAAGCATGTTGTAAGATCCGAGTGTGTGAATTTGTGAATGGTTTAAATTAACTTTGGTTGAGAATACTCTGATTTCAAGAAATCTCACCATCTCACAAAAACCACCAAAGAGAGAGACACTCAAAGATTATTTATTATAGAAGCACAAGGAATTCAGATAAAAGGTCGCAAGAAATCTCAAAACGCAAGGCAATGAACATAGATTTGACATAGATTTAAGTGTACCTATGTCTCAGACTCACAGTTATAAGCCTTAGGAGCTTCTTATCATTCAATTGAAAGCCTGGTGCAACAGGATATAAGTCAATCTTATAGTGTCCGTTTCTGAAAACCAATACTAGTCACACACTGAAAAATTACATCCACATTAGCTAAAATTACAGAACAATCCCGCAACAGAATGCACCGCACCGTTCCACTGAATGCAGATCAAACTTGATTCTATAAACAGCATAATGATTTCCTGCAAAAGTACCTAAAAACAGTTGCATTTCTATTTACCAAAGAAACAAACATACTTATAAGCCTACAACTGCAAATCTTGTGCGGCAAATCATCAACTGACTGTACCGGTCAGAACATAAGCTTTGTCATGTTGTCTCTTGCCTTTGCCAATCACAGTACGACGACCTGACACTTGGTAGAACGTCTTGGTATTTTCAGGAGTTTCTTGAAGATGACAATTTCATTTGAACAATATTTCAAACGTAGAGTCAGTTTCTTGAGGATTGCTGAACTCTCCAGGAAGTACCTCACCAGCTTCATTTCTGCAGTATATCCACTGATTGTGCTTTTGATATCAACAAAACTTTAGCGAAGATAACAAACATTGAGGCACATGTGAAAATCTGATTTGTTTCATCTCCTCAGAATGGATCTCCTTAAACTGAGTATCCAATTTCTGATGAAAAAAAAAAGAAAACACAATGAAAAAATACACAGAAACTTCATAGAGATAAGAAAAATCATATGACTAGCAGATTCTCACCAAAACGAGGGATTTCAGATTAGGGCAGTGCTCAAGAAAAGTTGGCAACCATTTTAGATCAGATACACAGAGTGTTATATCCAGGCGGGACATGTAACCAAAATGAGGCAAGGGTTCTAATTTGGAATAGTAATGAATGACCTGAAACCAATAGAAAGACTTGTGGGTGAGAGACTTTCATTATAGAAGAAAACATATACCTGCATTAACAAACATATACCTTAAAAATGTCTAGATACATGATCATTTCCCCGACCTCTGAAATCCGGGGCAGCAAATCGCGGATGATATATCTCTTTGATGAAACTGTTTCTTCATTAGGAAGCAATTCACCAAAGCTGAGAGAAATATCTAACTTGGCACCGGAATCCAAGTTGTTTATCATATATCTTTCAGATAAGCAATCATCGATTCTCAACCAGCGTAGTAAAGGAGCATCAATCACAACATTTAAGTAATCATCAGTTAAAGCATAACGTATTTTTATTTCGAGCCTCTTGAGTGAAAAAGAGTGCACCCGAAAGACATTAGGAGCATTCCCAAACTCGATAATTTTTAACTCTTCCAAGACAGGACATGATGAGACAAGTCTTTCAAAAGTGGTCTCATTGGGATACTGAAACCAGATCTCTTCTAGATGCATAGTCTTCAGACAAGGTAAGGAAAAAGACTCAGCACTAACCAAGGCCACCAGTTGAAGTTTCAAGAATGCCAGTGTCTGACTTATATAAAGGCTTATGGGAATCTCAAATGAGTATTCATCGGGAAGAGACACAACATGTAGATGTTGGACCTTACGCTTAACTGCAGCATCAATCCATGAGGTGAAATAAGCTACATAATCTTCGACATCATCATTGTCACTTTCATAAACTTTTAACTCAAGCTTGTCTATGCATGAAACCCTATTGGAATCGAAAAACCTGTCACCAAGACTCGCAAAGGCATTGAAATCTGGGAATTTATTGGAGTCTAATTCCAAACTAGGAGCCCAAAGCCAGAGACTTTTCCATCTGGTGGATAAGACGCTCGTCTTAACAGCTTCTTTTGCGGGAAGATGGCCAAGTATCTTGCATAACAAAGAATCAGGTAACTGGCTTATCCTATCTTCCTTCAATCTATGAATCGAAGACCTATTGGAACGAGTCTGTTTCTTTTTCCCTCCACCAACCATGTGTGTTTTCTTCTGTAGAACAAGGAAATCTGCATAACAAAGATTGAAACCAACACTAATCAGAATTCTCCTTTAGTTCACTGAAAGAGTTTTCAAAATCTGCATCTTAAACAGTGTAAGAGAGAGTGAAACTATACTACATTGAGACTAGTCAAGCTAGGGTTTTTACTTATGAAGATGATTACAGGAAAAGAAAAAAAGGGTCAAGTAAGAAGAAGAACACAAAAAGGGTCAAGTAAGAAGAAGAACACAAAAAGGGTCAAGTAAAGAAGAACACAAAAAGGGTCAAGTAAGAAGAAGAGCACAGTGTTTTGTCGCCAAACGGAACGCAATCAATTGCCGGAACTGTAGATCGTACTTCGCCGGCGGGAATGTAATTCGTTGCCGGAAAAATGGGGATATCACGTGCCGATTTTCTCTGAAGAAGACTGAAATTAATCGAAAATGGCAACTCAATTTGGGTTTTTTGGGACCTATAGCTACAGTGTGTGTTCTTACAGAATAAATTATGTTTCCAGAAATGAAAGAAGATGTGCGCATGTTAGACGAACCACGTGTGTTGCACGTGATTTCCCCGTAGTCACCTAAACCTTCCGCAGAAGCTCTCCAACACTCACTCGAGTGACTTATGAGCTTGAACTAGAACTAGAACTAGAGTGAAAACGGTGACGACGACGATATCTTCTCTTCTCAGTGATTTTAGGGTTTTGAAATTCTGACTATTTCTGATCGAATTCTGGAATTGGATTCGATTCTCTGTTTTTAATATTTGTTAGCAAAATGATGTTCTTGTAGTCTCAATTCGGATCAGTTTTTTTTACTTAATAGATTGTTTATCCTGATTTTTATGCAGTGTAGACTTTGAGAGATTCAAAGCTTCTGAAGATTCATGGCCAAGAGACATTTCTTCCAGCCTCTTCTTCCAGACTTCCACAGCCACTTAGTACCCTCTCTCTTTTCTCCCACTTTCTGCATGTCTCTGTCTCTCTGAGAATCTCATCAAGAAGGATGGGTCTAATTTGGTATTTGCATGTTGTTTCAGACAATTCCTGTAGCTTTCTTCTCCAAGTACATAAAAGGAAAAAATGAGCACAAGACTACGGCGAAGCTGAGATCAGACGCGTCGGAGATAACCTGGAGAGTGAAGGTAGAAGATGGCCGGAGACTCACTGATGGTTGGAAAGAGTTCGCTCTCGCTCATGATTTTCGAATCGGTGACATTGTTATTTTCAGACAAGAGAAAGACATGACTTTCCACGTCACACCCTTTGGACCCAGTTGCTGTGAGATTCAGTATGAGTCTTGTTTGGACGATGAGAACAAGCTCGGTGAGTTGTGTTCTGTCTCTTTCTAACTCTGAATCTGAGACAGACATTTAAGAAGAAATGTGCACAATTAAACAAAGTTTAAACTGTGATCTTGGAGTATGAATCAGTAAGTAGAGAGATTGATTTTGTTTTGTTTTGTTTTTTTCAGAGAAGATTCCAAAGAAGAAGAAGAGAGTGAAAAGAGAAGCAGAGTCTTCTTCTTCACTAAATCCCTCTTGCTTTGTGGCTAATGTCACGCATGCGAGCCTACGTTATGATTCACTGGTGTGTCTACTCTTTAATTTGAATAAAAGAAAGAGCTCTTATACTATAATCTAAGTTTGATTAAAAGATATACATGTTGAATTTCCAGAGTCTTCCGATGAGTTTTGCGAGGGCAAATGGTCTAAACACAAGATGTGGAGAGATTGTTCTAATGAATGATAAGGGTAGATCATGGACTTTAGCTTTAAAACAGAAGAAATGTGGAACTACTTACATCAGAAGAGGATGGAGAACTTTCTGTAGTGCCAATGGATATAAGGCTGGAGATTTCTTCACTCTCAAACTGATCCAGAGAGGAAAAAATCTGGTTCTACGTTTGTCACTCAATGAATCTGAAGAAGAAGAAGAAGATGATTGCTCATTAGAAGCTAATGATATAGAGCCGCAAAGCGATGAAGAGAGCAACCAAGATGAGAGAAGCTCGCAGAAATGTTCAGAGAGGAAACATAGAACCGGTAAATCGACATGGAAAGCTTCACCTTCACCATCCCAAAACCGATTTGTGACATTAACTCTTAGACCTTGGGTCGTCAAAAACTCTATCCTGGTCAGTTTCATCAACAAGCCATTGTCTTTTTTACAGTCTATCGATTCTGAATCCTCTGTTTGAATATTTGTTTTCAGTTTCTACCAATGCCCTTCACGAGGATGAATGGCATCACTGAGAAAACTAAAATGACTCTGCTGGATAAAAACGATGTGAAGTGGCCTACGGGTCTACGGTCTGGTGACCAAGGTAAAAGAATTAGACTTGTAAAAGGCTGGAGAGAGTTCTTCAAAGCTAACAATGTGAAGATAGGTGAATCGGTCATGTTGAAGCTGATTTGGGAAGGAGACGCAAACTGTGTTCTTAAGTTCTGCTCTAAGGTGAAGCAAGTGACCAAATGAAGATGTGTCCTTTTGTGTAAGTGCCAAAGACAAATTGAAATGAATCAATGTTTGGCCTTTTTTTTATTTTGGTAAAATTTAACAATGTTTACCTTAACTAGTAAGGTCCAATTGTAGTAGCATGTTAAGTATGGAGTAGGATTTGAGTGAGTGAGATCATTAGCCTTACTGTGTGGGATTTGTAAATGTTGGTTTGAGATTACTCTGATATCAAGAAGTCTCAACATCTAATACAAAAACAACCAATAAGAGCGATGTATCACATAAAGAAACACTCAAGGCATTAAGATACAGGTCGCCAGAAATCTCTAAACCGGTCTGTGTCAAAATGTGACTTTGATGGTGTTTTTTTTACAATCATGAACGCAATTCGAAGGCAAGTTGGATCATTAGGAATGATCATGGCCCTTTATTTGGGTGCTAAATGGATGGATATCATATTTTTAGCCCATTAATATGGGATGTTCAAATGTGAAATCAAACCGAATGAAACAAAACCTTTGAACCGGAATATAGATCGTTTTCGGGAAAACGACGTCGTTGGTCATTGAAAATCCCTGAAATGATGAAAATTTGAAGTTATAAGGCAGTCGATGAGTCATTTCTTCTCTGACAACTTCTCCATCTCTTTGGTTTTGTCTTCATAGCCTTACACATGTATGTTTCTGTATATTGAGACCCTCTCATCATTGAGATCGAAGCTCAGTGTGGTATTGCAGAGTCGCCATCTCGGTCGTGCCTCAGCGTCGAACGTAACTCCTTGAGGTACAGTTTTTTTTCCTTGACCGTACGGTGAAACAAACTAGAATTTCGGCTTTTTACTGTAGTAATTGTGTCTATGTAGTAATTTCGGTTATTTAACGTTTGTTTTCAGTGTTCGTTTTAGGAAATGTTGTTATTGTAGTCTGTTTTGATGAAGTCAATTCAGAAATGTTCGGTTCTTAAACCACATAAGCTTAATTTGTCTTTCTGATTTCGAAATTGCAGCAGTGAAGACATCAACAAAAATGAAGACATCATCGAAATCGATGATTCCAGACTGGACTCAGCTTCCTCAAGAGCTACTTCACATCATCAAGGAGAAACTAGAGAACTGTTTCGATGTTGTTCATGCTCGCTCTGTTTGCACCTCGTGGCGATCCACATTTCCCTTTCCAGCTTCCCTACTACGCCAAAGTTACTCCCTTCCCCTTTATCCTATTGAAATGGAAAGCTTGTGCTCCCTCGAGAAGATCCCTTTTTTCCTCTGTAGAGTCCCAACTGCTGCTGAGTCGGCTTCTGAGTATTTTTTGGGAGGAATATGCCGAGATGAGTCAGAGGATTATTCACAGTTCCCATCTCCTCCTCAGTGCTCACTGAGATTGAAGTTACCAGGATCTAATCCAACATTGAAGAACATGCTTGACTGCCAGATCTTCTCTGTAGGTCATCATTACAGAATGATTTGTTGGCATCAAGGGTTGAGGATAACTTTCAAAGATGTGGCTTTTCTTCCGCTAAACAAGGAGGGAGGAGCAGAATTCGTTGTGATCCGCAGCTACTCAAGAACTTTGGTGGTGTTCACAAGTGTTGAAAAGAGGTGGTTGCAACTCAAAGACGTCCCAGATACTACATGCTTGGACTTAGTAGCTTTTAGAGGCAGGTTTTATGCAGCATTTAGGAACAAGGACGTTTTTGTTATTGATCCTTATTTGCTAAAAGCAACTCGCCTAATGCCCTCAGAGCATCTGAACGGATTCTTTCATGTAATTCCATCAGGCGATGATGAACTTTTCCTGGTTGAGAAATTTCTGAGTACCACCCCTCATGCTGCTGGGTTAAAATGTAGAGTGCGTAGGCTAGATGAGGAGGCTGGTAAATGGGTCAAGGTCACTGACTTGGGAGACCGTGTGTTGTTTGCTGGATACGGTGCAAATAATTCATGCTCGACGAAGCAGCTTCCTGATGGTTGTGGTTTGAGCAGGAACTCAATTTTTTTCACCGAGCGGCCAGGCCATGCAAACTTCATCTTTAAATATGCAGCAGGAAGCGGTGATTGGGAACTCTCAAGAGAGCGTCTTACTTTGTCTTTCCGTGTTGAGAATCAAACCATAAGGCGTACTTTGGATTACTTGAGACATCTAAATCAAAACAACCTTATCCTATAATTTTAGGTGTAGGTCGTGTGTCTTTAATGTCATTTTGATGCCTGTTATTCTAGACTATCCTCTACGATCTTGGTAAACTCTAGTAGCCATGTCACTGGTTAACTTACAACCGTTATTTTCTCATGAAATTTCCAAGCCGTGTCTGGCTGTGTTCTTGGTGTATGGATAGATATCATATGTTTTTGAGCCCATGAAATGTTCAAATGTGAAACTAACCCGGATGAAACCAAACCTTGAACCGGAAATATAGATGGCGATGCTACTCAAACCGATGTTGTCTCATTTCCCGGGAAACGACGTCGCTATTCACTGAAAATCCTTAGTCGTTTGGGGAATCATCTAATTTACCCTTCCTTCTCAAATACAAATCCGATATCTCTCTTTATTTTAAAGAATTTTTAATGTAATTATTTTTAATGTTCAAAATAGGTAAAAAATCTTAAACCCATTTTAATTCAAAAAAATCACATTTTATATCTGGATGAAACCCGTCCAGCCAGTGATATCGGGCATAACTCGAAAAACTTGATCCAAAAATTTGGATTGTTTTAGAGTTCTCCCCAAATCGATCAAATCCATAACGATTTCTCTTTATCTCTTTTCCGATATTCGATTCTCTCATCGTCAAACTAGGGATAACTACAAATCTAATCCTCCCAAAACTGTTATCGATCGAGAAAAATGGCTAGAACAAGATGGACAAAGAAGAAGAAGAAGATTAGAGCTCCAAAAACCAAGGGCGAGAGCAGTTCCGATCCGCCACCTCCAATGGTTGAAGCATCAAAAATGGAGGAAGAGGTTGAAGATTAAGTTCTGAGAACTGAAGAAGAAAGAGAAGACCTAGAAAAGTCAGACAAAGAAGAAGAAGATGAGGAAGAAGGAGGAGATGTAGAGAAGTCAGACAAGGAAGAAGAAGTTGACGAAGAAGAGGAAGGAGAGAAAGACGAAGAAGAAGACAAAGAATTAGAGAAGGATGCGGATAAAGAAGAGGATGAAGGAGAACATGGAAATTCATACGCCATGGACGAGGATGTGGTCTCAACGGTAAGTATATCTGTTTGTATTAGCAATACTAGTATAACTAGGTACAACTAGGCAGAATTTATATGTTAGTAATGGAAGAACTAGATAAAACTATGTGGATTTTTGAAGTAATATTGGTAGAACTACGTAAAATTGTGTTAATATTCGGAAAAATACCGATATTACTAGGTAAAACTATGAGTTTATTAGTAATTCTGGTAGAACTAGGTAACACTAGAGAACACTAAGAGAAATTGATATGTTAAACTAATATAACTTGGTAGAACTCAATTATTGCTGCAAAATTCAGAAGACGAAACGACAGCTCTACTACTTCCCACCGAAGAAATATGTCAAGAAAATTAAGATATCGACAAGGTGTTATATATTTGAATTCTTGAATACAATAGAAGGGTTGAAGCATCCTTTGAGTAGTGTTGAGTTGAGATGGTTTGAGAAACATCGGCAGTTCAAACACATTTTCCACATGCCTAGGGACAGATACCACAAGCTTATGGATGCTCCTTCTTCGAATGGCATGCATCGAAAATAAAAAAGAAGTTTGGTTCGTGGTGTTCCTATCCGTTATGGTCTAAGGGAACACGCCTTGATATCGGGATTTGACTGTCGCAACTATCCACTACATTATGTGGAAGGAAGTAAAATCGTGGATAAGAAATTTGTGAACAAGCATTTTGGGAAAGGAGCAATAGTGTCTCATCAAGACGTGAAAGAAAAACTGGAGGAAATGGAAACTAGTCGAGATAGGTTGAAGAAGTTGGTCTTGTTCTTCTTATCCAACATTGTCGTAGGGTAGACAAAGACTGGAGTAGATGCTACACCCGTTTTGAAATTCTTTCAAATTGCGGTGGATGATCTCGAGTTATGTAAGAGCTTTCCTTGGGAGAGACTGTCATATGACTATATGGTGAAGAACATATCGCACACGATGACTCATTTTGGGGGTTTAGTCAAGGCGGTGTAACCTGGCCAATTCCAGATTTCTGTATTCTTTTAGAGGTAAGTAAAAATTTATTTGAGGTATTTAAAATTGATATTATCTATTATAGTTGAAGATAAGTTTAACTATATGTGTGTTGTGTAGTTTTTGGCATTTGAGGCAATTTTAGAGCTATGGAGTATTTTTCCAGGTGCAGACATGGGTTGTCCTAGGATGTGCAGGTCAAAGTTTAAGAAAAGCGAATTAAAAGGATTTCCTCTTTCAAAAATAAATGGAAAACTTGGTACAATCAAGGTTAGTTATCCTTTGCATATGTTTGTTATGTTGTTAATGTTTGGAACTAAGTGTTTACATTTTTAGGACATTGAAAGCTTGGTGGTAGCTACTCCAAAAGAAAATGATCTTCTGGCTAGACTCACAGAAGAAGATGACGATGTTGATAAACATGATATTGTTGTCAACAGTTGGATCCTGCGTCTTCACGAAGGATATACCATATGGATTGAAGACATGTATAATGAAGATGTTGTTTCACGACTAGGATCCGTACTCGAGAATGTCCCCAATGAAATATGTGAAAACACGCCTGTAAATAAAGTGGTAGAGCTCATAAACACTCTGAAAACAGAAATGGGAGAAAAGATGAATGTTATCAAAGATAAGGTTAACGATTTGGTGGGAAGAGTTGAACTGTTGGAATCTTTTTTGAATGAGCAAGGAGAGACCTTAAAGGTAACCATATTTTACTTCTCAAACCATGGGTTTTGTGTTATTAAACATGATGTTGTTATTAATCTATGTTTGATTACAGACCGCTGGAAAAAAGCGTAGGCGAGGAGACAATACAAAATGAAGAGTTGAGGGTTGAAGTAAAACTATGTTTAACTATATTTTTCTAAGTTGCTTTGAATTTGAATTCGTGTAAAACTACGTACACCTTAGTAGTTTTTGTGTTTGGATTCGTATTAGAAACTAATTAGTATTACTATGAATAATTATGTCAAACTACGCAGTAATACTATGAAAAATTATGTCAAACTAAGTAGAAATAATATGTTTTTAATAACTCACCCTAAATAATTGCTTTATTAGTTTTACAGATAAGTATATTCCACAATAGTATGTGTCTAAATGTACTATTCAATTAAATATTAAATATAAACATTTTTTATTTTTTACTCATAAGATGCTTAGTATGTTCATAACTCATCTTAGAAGTATAAGACATATATTGTGTAAACTCAACTTTATATGATATAAAATATATTTTTAAATAAAAATTGTGATGTTATACTATTATGTAAACTGTGTCATAACATCCCAACATCTGAACACATGGATTTGTTTAGTTTTTTTTTTTTAAATTATGTCATAATATCCCAACATCCTAGTTTCACCAGTTGTACTAGTTGTACATTGTTACATAATTAAATATTTGTTTGTTAGTTTTGATTTTTGACTTTATGGATATGTTGTACTAATTATTTTATAGTTTCATAGAAGAACTTTGATATAATATGCTATTTTTTCACTCATGACTTTAGTTTTTCTTAAAATATAATTCTGATTACATAATTAAATATTTGCTTGTTAGTTTTGATTTTTGGCTTTATGGATATGTTGTACTAAAATTTTTAATAGTTTTATAGAAGAACTTTGATATAATATGCTATTTTTTCACTCATGACTTTAGTTTTTCTTAAAATAAAATAATTTTGGTTATTTGAATATTGCTTGTTAGTTTTAATTTTTGGTTTTATGGATATATTGTACTAAATTTTTTAATAGTTTCATAGAAGAACTTTGATATAATATGCTTAAGTTAGTATGATACAAGTTCTATTTAGTATTACAGGATAATAAAACATAATAAATAGTATTACATTGGAGATCTACCAGTTCCAAATAGCAGCCAATAGTCTTTGTATTGACCGTCTTTTATTTTGCGTCCTAGGACGATGCTGTTCTCCAGCCGATGAAAATATTTTACTTCTCTTTTTCCCCTTCTTTTTCACTGGAGGTAAGATCTGCAGCTTTTTGAACTCAGTTGGGACATTCCACTGAGACCTATTCGGAACTAAATAAATTGTCTTGATATATGCCAATACCTAGAAATCCGTCCAATAATATTTTGAACATAATTCATGTATCTCTATGGCATCATCACCTCTAGAAACATCATTTTTGAAGTCAATGAAAGCAGCTAGTGCGTGAACACATGGATACTTCTCAAAATTGAAAAACCGGCAACTGCAACTTCTCAATATCAAGTTCACCAAATAAGGCTTTCCATCAGTACCAATGACGTTGTATTCACAGTCGAAACTGTTTAACGCTATCACAGTTAATTTCTCAGCAACACTCCATAAATCATGCAGGTAATTCTCCACTAAAGGCACCAGTTTATTATCAATTGATCCAGAAACATCCTCTTTGTGATGTTGATTAAACCAATCAGCAAACACTTTAATAACCTCATTGAGCATGGGTATTAGAGAGCACTTCCTTGCGTTTTCAAAAACATTGTTTAAAGATTCCACAGCGTTGCTTGTGTCTATGTTGTATCTATCCCCTCAAAAATAACACCGTGCCCATTTCTCTTTTATAGTACTTTCCTCCACATATTAGAAAGCAATCATGCAGATAATCATCATGCAAAAGTGATGCAACTAATCATGGATTGCCTTTTTTCTTAGAGTTATTTGTACTCTGACTTGCTCGAGAGCATGAATGCATCTTTGTGTGTGTTCTAACTGAGAAAATTTCTGTCCATGTGATTCTTGCAGCTCGTGAACCCTATTTACACATTTCTTGAGAATATTTGACCACGTAACGAGTTTTATCCGACCACTTTATAACATAACCAAAAGACTTAAGAAATGTTCATCTATCCATAAACTCTTGCACTGTTTGTTTTATTTGAAAATTCCTGAAACTGACTCACACCCAAACTGTATTTCCATGACACTATTCGATGACTGCTTTCTAACAGAGGTGGAGGCTCATGCATAACTGATCTATTAGGGCCATCATCAGTACCCTCATCCACACGTTCAGCATCAATACCTTTATCCATAACGTTTGCTTGTTCGTTGGGTACGTACAAAGTAATGGCATTAGCTCCAATTTCATCTTCAACAATATTGTCCTTTCTCACCACTTGCTCAGGCTGTTCTGAAATATTCATAGCCTCCACATATAAAATATATTTTTGATTGTCTTTATCAACAGATGTTAGAAAAACACACAGATCTTCATCATCAGAAATAATAAACCGTTCCTCACCTCCTCCAACCAGCAGTGGAATGTAACTCATTTCCAATTTTATCTTATTTTCATCTAATGCAAGCTTTTTGTATATCATACCTTCTATCATCGATGGAGTTATCTTCCCCACATGTGTCTTCAACAGTAAACTATACATGTGACTTTAGTATTTAAAATGAATGCTGATAGTTTTGCTCATTGTATCTGTCAAAATAATACAAAACACTTGATCAGTAATACTAGTAATCCAGAGTTATACCTTCACTATACATAGTAATACTAGTTGCACCAAGTTTTACTCTATAAATCTCGACTTCAAGTAATACCAATTTTACTAGTTATACTATATTTTCCAGTACTGATAGTTATACCCAGTTCTTCTTTTGCAAGAGCCAAATGTTCTCACCAATTATTTAACATGCACTACGAATCGGGCCATCATCTAGTTATATAACTAAATTGAAGTCCTAATCAATCCAGAATTAAAGGTTAAACTCTCAATGTGCATGCTAAAATGAGTTCAACATATGCTGAATTCAATATAAAAAATCTGAGAAACTTATCAGTTAAGACAGTTTAACAGAGGAAAAAACAGCAATGGTGAAAGAAATAGACGGTGATAGAGGCGGCATGGAGTCAATTTCTGAACCCAATCTCCCCGACATTGGTGGTGATAGCGGATCAGAGAGAGAGTCTGAGCAAGAGGACGAGAGATGGAGCTTGAGTAAAGAGAAGAAAGAAAGAAAGAATGCCTAAATTGGTTGGATCCACCTTTAAAAATGGGGTCGAAAAAAATAGTTTTTTTATATTTTTTAATTAATTTTTACAGAAAATTGTTTAAGAAATGACAATTTAGTCTTTTTACTTACTGATAAAATAAGAGATGAATGGAAGAGATAGGAAAATAAAAAGTTTTAATGAATGGTTACTAATAAGATAAGAGATGAATGAAAGAGATAAGAAATTAAAAAGTTTTAATGAATGGTTACTAATAAGATAAAAAATGAGTGGAAAAGATAAGAGATTAAAAAGTTTTAATGAGTGATTAATGATAAAATAAGAAATGAATGGAAGAGATAGGAGATTAAAATGTTTTAATGAGTGGTATAAAAGATGATGCCTTACTCCTTTCTTCTTTCGCTGAAATGATGAAAATGGTCGAATCATTTCTCCGACAACTTCTTCTTCCCAATTACAACATGTTTCTGTATTGAGATAGATACTTTTCATCATTGAGACCGAAGCTCAGAGTGGTATTGAACAGTCAACATCTCCGTCATGACTCAATTTCTAACGCAATCGAAAGGTACAGTTTTGTTTTCCCTTGTCCTTACAACAAACTAAATTTGTCGGCTATGGAGTGTAGTAATTTGAATCTATTTTCTTAGAGAATCTTTCTGGGTTTTAGATTAATTCTGCAAAAATGTCACCTTTGGGAGAAGTCGTCTACAATCTTTTGTTTTCTGGGTTCTAAACTTCTGACTGAGGGTTTTGTTACAGATTCTTTCTCTTCCTTTTGTACCGATTTCCTTAATTGTATTTGATTTTAGGGTTTTGAACTTTTGTTTTCAATACTCGTTTAGGAATTGGATTTAATTTTTAGGGTTTTTAAACTTCTGTTTTCAATGTAAGTTTAGGAATGGGATTTAATTTCAGGGTTTTTAAACGTTTATTTTCAATGTTTGTTTAGGAATTGGATTTAATTTTAGGGTTTTTAAACTTTTGTTTTCAATGTTCATTTAGGAATTAGATTTAATCTTTAAGGTTCATGTATATTTATTAATTTAATAAGTTTGTATTTGTAATTTCGAAATTGCAGCTATCAATATAAACATGGCAGAGCCTTCAACGAAAAAGAATATGACAGACTGGACTCAGCTCCCTGAAGAGTTACTTCAAATGATCATCGAGAAACTGAACAACTGTTTCGATGTTGTTAATGCTCGCTCTGTTTGCAGCTCGTGGAGATCTTTATTTCCTTTTCCTTCTTGCTTACTAATCCAAAGTTACTCTCTTCCGACTTATCCTATTGAAAAGCAAGGCTTGTGCTCCCTCGAGAAGATCCCTTTGATTCTCTTTAGAGTCCCAACCGCTGTTGAGTCGGTTTCTGAGTATTTCGTGGGAGGAATATGCCGAGATGAGTCTGGGGATTACATGGAGTTTCCATCTCCTCTTCAGTGCACACTGAGAGTGAAGCTAGCAAGATCTGATTCAGCATTGCAGCTAGCAGGAGCTGGTTTAATGTGGAAGAAGATATTAGACTGTGAGTCAACATGGATGAACACGCGTGGTTGCCAGATCATTAACATGGGCCATCAGTACCAAATAGTTTGTTGGAGTCCTGAAGGGTTGAGAAAATCTGAGAGAGATGTGGCGTATCTTGAGCTAAGCAAGAAGGGAGTAAGTGAGTTCCTCGTGCTTCGCAGCTACTCTAACACTTTGGTTGTGTTCAAAAGTGGTGAAAGGAAGTGGAAGCGAGTTGAGAACGTCCCAGGCTATTCATCCACGGGAGTAGTTTCTTTTAGAGGCAAATTTTATGCAGCCTTTGTTGGACGGGACGTCTTTGTCATCAATCCTCGTTCACTGAAAGCGACCCGCCTAAGGAGGTCCTTGAAGCATAGGGACGCAAAAAACTATCTTGTCCCTATTGGTGATGATGAACTTTTCCTAGTTGAGGAAAACGTGACTCCTATTGATGGAACAACTTTTGGAGTTTTTAGGCTAGATGTAAAAGCTCGTAAATGGGTCGAGGTTAGTGATTTTGGAGACAGAGTGTTTTTTGTTGGATGTTTGGTAAATGTTGCTTGCTCGGTCAAGGAGCTTCCTGATGGTTGTGGTGTGAGTGGGAACTCGATTTTGTTCACTCAGTTAGGTCTTCATATCTCGTTCTATGTATACAGCAGTGGTTGTTGGAGATCCTCAAGTGAGAGTCGTGTGGAGATCATCGTATCTGGATCTCCGGCGTTGGCTTTCAGTGTTCGTGTTAAGTAGCCATATGTCTTTACTTTTGGATACTTGAGATATCTATTGCTTTTGTTTTTGTAAGAGCCAAAACAAACTTATCTTATGACATTAAGTGTAGATTTTGTGCCTCTGATGTCATTTTGTCTGTTCTAAAATATCAACAGAACTTTGATGATGCATGCATTCATGTAAGTGTAGTTTTATTAGGCATGTCTCACTGAAATTCCGCTTTATGGAGAAATTTATGATTTTGAACAAGGTTTTTTTTTTTTTTGGAACGTTGATATTGAACAAGTTGCCACTAAAAATTTTAAAATATTGAGTCTGATAATAGTTTCGAAAACTACTGTTTCTCTAAAAAGTTTTCTTTTCTCATTTGCATCACATATATCTTTTTTTTATATCCGGTTCTTTATTTTATATCGGCTTTCTTTCTTTTTTTTTATGTTTTTTTTTGTAAAACAATTATGTGACGTATTGATTTTGTAGTTCCATATTGAAATCAATAAAATTGTTTTTGCCGTAAGAAAAAAAAAATTATGTGACGTATTGGTAATTTGTTTTGGCATGTTATCTGACTCATATTTTAATTGATCTAGAAAAGACCTATGAAACTTTTTATACGTGATAGTGATAGCCTCTTGAACTTTAACTATAAAACTAGTTAACTTTCCTAGACGCGGGCATAATTTATCTTTGATTGTTTGAAAATCTAATAGTTGTTTGGATTCATTTGGTTTTTATTTTTGAGTATATTTGTTTGTTAGATTTCTTTATACTTTAATATTGGAATACATGATCGTGAAAATAATATAGAATAGAAGAGAGTAAATAAAAACATAATAGTATCCAAATAACTTAGTTGAAATAGTTTTCAGATCTTTTGATCACTATAGACGTAATTTTTTGAAGTACCGTATAAACTTATTCGATTTTGATTACTGTTTTATGAGTTTTAAACATCACAAATAACGTCATCCATTAGTTAGATATATATATTTTCCTTTTTAAAAAACTTTTTTGTTAGAGTTTTTTTTTAAAAAATTTTAGTTTTTTTTTGTTTTGAAACGATATTCCATTACTTTTTAAATAGTTTCCATTTTTTCAACATTTTTGTTAGAATTTTTTTTAATTTCGGAAAAATAAGAAATGGTAAACACTAAGAGATATAGATTCTATTTTTTATATAAAAATGTTTTTGTTACGGTTATATATAATTTCGGTTATATATAATTTTAAATACGGTTTGATTGACTATTAAATTAAACATTAAACCATAATAATTTAGACATTTTTAAATTTTTTTTTGTTATATATAATTTGAAAAACGGTTTGATTGACTATGAAATTAAACATTAAACCATAATAATTTAAATCGGTTTGTTTTAAGTTTTTATACACCATCAGATAAGATCTAATAAAAAAATAACATGTAACTGTAAAATATGGCTAAACGGTCCTTTTACCACCAAAATTCATTCTGGAGCTAACACGTAAACGAAAAGCTGTGAAAATCGTTGTGAGCATGACGTATAAGCAAATCACTACACAAATAAGTATATAGATAGATGATAATTCTCCTATATTATATATGTACTTCCTCTAATTTACAAAGAATGTTATTTAATTTTACACAAAAGAATGTTATTTATACAAAAATGTTATTTTAAGTTTTATATTTGTTTTACTCGTTTTGCACTTCCAATGCAAATTTTTGAACAAAACTCTAATTTAATTTGACTAATTTAGTGTATTAATTAGGAAAATAGAAATTTACTTAGTCTATGAATAATGAGAAATAAATATCTTAGATTAGTTTTTTAATGTGTGAAAAATGCTAGAATGCCACAAATTGTAAAATAGAGGAAATTGTGTGTATACACATCAATCAAATTTACATTATTTTATGATGAAATTATCTATAAATAGTTGTCATTGCTGATAATGTTAAATTAACTAAATTTAGACCAAACAATAGCAATGGAAACAAATAAGAGAAAAAGGAAATATTTTATCTTTTTATTAAAAAAATGTAATTAAGGCCCTCATGTGACTGTAATAAACAAAAGATTTAACAGGTCCCCCCATTCTCTCATTCTTTTTCTAAGTCTAAAACACAACGAGAAAAGAAAAAAAGAAAGAAAAGCTGAGGAGATTCTCGGCATCTCCGAATCGAATCTGAGAGAGAAGAAGCGAAATTAGCTTCGAGATCGATGTTCGAGGAATTAGATGCATGAAGTTGGATTACCGGTGGATCTCAAATTCTTCACGCAGCTTGTCTTGACGCTCTTCTTCCTCTCCATCGGTGTCCTCTTCTTTGTCAAACGCACGGCGGCTAAGTACTTCGAGGTCGGCGGCTCCGGTGGTTTCGACAGCGACCACCGCCGAGACTTCATGGTTTCCGACACGTCCGTATGCGCTGTCTGTGGGAAGCTCTCCACCAAGCAATGCTCTCGTTGCAAATCCGTTAAATACTGGTAATCAATCACCTCCTTCACTTTGCAAAAAGATTTATAATTTCTCCGAATTAGGGTTTCTTGATTTGATTTAGACGTAGCTGGATTAGAATTGGAACGATGGTCGTTACTTACTGTCTAGCTCGTGCTTCCGCAGAACAATCTTGATTTTGAAAGTTTTGATTTTTAGGGAATTTTTTAATGAAAGAAACGGTCTTTTACCTTTATAAGTCATCCTCTAGATTATCAAAGTTTCTTGCTTTTGAAAGTTTTGATTTTTAGGATTTTAGTGTAGTTGGATTTGATTCCGTTTTACCTCTGTTCTTTGCTACTAGCTCTGCGGATTGCCAAGCGTCAGATTGGAAATCGGGACATAATCGAAAATGCAATTCATCACCTGTTAGAAGAGATGACCTCGATTTCAAAGCTTCTCTGTTCGGGAATAGGTCTGCTTCTAAGATTGCATTGGTTCCTCAGCTAAGACAAAGCAAGGCTGTCCTCAAGCCAAGAGATGTAATGTGTCTTCTTTTATTCATCTGATCTTTGACAATCTTTCTTGATAGGTTTGATTGTGCAATCTTATTGATTCCGTTTGTATCATGTGCAGGTTCTTTTCCCATACGAAACTTTTGTTAAATATTTTAACTGGGACAAGCCTATATTGGCTCCTTGTGGGCTCATCAATTGTGGAAACAGCTGTTTTGCTAATGTGGTTCTACAATGCCTTTCCTGGACACGCCCTCTTGTTGCATACCTTATGGAGAGAGGCCACAAGAGAGAATGTAAATTTCTATTCGAGGAAAAATTTAATACTTCAAAACTCTTCAATTGGGTTTTCTGTATGCATTTTAACTTAACTTTGCTTCTACGTTTTGTTTGACAGGTCGGCGCAATGATTGGTGCTTTTTCTGTGAATTTGAAACTCATCTCGACAGAGCAAACCTAAGCCGGTTTCCTTTTTCACCAATGAACATTATCTCGAGGTTGCCTAACATTGGTGGAAATCTTGGGTATGGGAGACAGGAAGATGCTCATGAGTTGATGAGGTCAGCAATTTGTTACTCGTTGATTGTAAGCCTAGCGGTGGAGTAGTTGTCAATCTGTCAGCTAATTCTTTTAAACTTCTTGTGATTTAGGTTTGCAATTGACATGATGCAATCTGTTTGCCTCGATGAGTTTGGTGGAGAGAAAGTGGTGCCTCCCCGTGCCCAAGAAACAACACTTATCCAATATATATTTGGCGGTATCCTTCAGTCACAGGTAATGTTTCCTTATCCAATTAGCAGGTCTTGCGTTGTATTTGCAAATTTTAATAATACAATGATGCACAAGTTAGATTTAATACAACAAAGATAGACATTGTGCCGATAAGAGTCATAAGACATGCTAATGTTAGTCTTAGGATATGAATCATCAAATCACTAGGTAATAAGTTGAAAACAGGTTAGCCTAGGCTAGGGCTTGGATTGGATTATTATAAGTTCGAGATAGGTTAGCCTACGGGATGGATTGGATCTTTCTTATCACGTACTCCTAAGAACTTGTAGTGTGAGCAAATTTGAAACTCGCTTTAGTAATTTAGTTGTCTAACATGTTATTCTTTTTTTGTGATGTATTCATCCTGATTATCGTCCTCTCTCTCTCATTCTGTAATTTTTCCTCATTCGCTGCGTTTTTTTTATTTAACTTTTGCAGGTCCAATGTACTGTTTGCAGTAATGTTTCTGATCAATATGAGAATATGATGGATTTAACCGTTGAGATCCACGGGGATGCGGTATCATTGGAGGAATGTCTCGATCAGTTCACAGCTAAAGAGTGGCTTCAGGGAGATAACCTTTACAAATGTGATAGGTATTTATATTTCTTCTGGAGCCTGAATTTTTCTTAACAATAGATATGGTTGGTATGCGAATCTTGTGAATGAACTGTGTTTCTGAAAGTTTGTTCTCTCTTCTTTAGATGTAATGACTATGTGAAGGCATGCAAGCGCCTTTCAATTCGTTGTGCTCCAAATATTCTTACAATTGCCTTAAAAAGATTTCAGGTTACCATCTCTTTTGCTCTCAGTTAGTCTCTTTGCATCTGCATATACCTCTGACATTGGTTGTCTAATAAATCTAAAAACTATGTACAGGGTGGGAGATTCGGTAAACTGAACAAAAGAATCAGTTTTCCTGAGACATTTGATCTTGGCCCTTACATGAGCAGCGGGATGGAAGGATCTGATATATACAAACTCTACGCTGTGATTGTCCATTTAGACATGTTGAATGCCTCGTTTTTCGGCCATTACATATGCTTTGTTAAGGACTTCCGCGGAAACTGGTACAGAATAGACGATTCTCAGGTAAGAATCATCTTTTATGAACTCTTTGTTGTTTTGTTTGCCTATTATGAATGTCAACATGATGAAAAAAGTAGAATTTTCAGAGATCTTCTAATACTGTCTCAAAAAACTCGCAGGTGGCAAAAGTAGAGCTAGAAGATGTCCTTTCTCAACGAGCATACATGCTCCTCTACAGCAGGTGGGCCTTTTACTTGTTGATGAAGAATCTTGCTAGAACAAAGAATCTTGTATTTAGAGAAGTAGCTTTAGTTTATGATTCCTTGTGTTGGTGCAGGGTTCAGACTAGACCATCAAGTCTTAGATCCGAAGAAGTTCAAAAGGAGAAGAAAACAGATGCATTGAACACAGAATCTAGCCAAGGTGGCTCTGTTGAGAGTTCTGGGGTGGGAGCAAATGATACCAGTGTGTCCTCGCTGTGCAATGGCATCATCTCACATTCAGAAGATCGTGAATGCAAAAATGAATCATCATCATCCGCAACTGTCTCTGAAAAAGGAAAAGAAGTTGACGAAAGAGTTGATGCAGTAGATTCCGAGTCAAACCCTTCTATTGAAATGGAACATGAATCTGGAACAGATCATCATCAAGAACAAGAAGAAGCAAATGCGAAAGAAGATCCAACGGTTGAAAATCTGGTTGTTGACACTTCTTGTTCGGACATAACTACCTCATCTCAGTCTGCTGCTACAGACTCCAAACCCTCAGAGAATGAAGATCCAGACACTGAGATGATCGATGCTGCTAAATGAATCCAAAAAACGCTGGTGGAGTCACAACATTTTTTCATGGCTCTTGAAAATCGATAAGGGGAGCTTCTAACTTAACAATAATGCTGGTGAAAAATTACTTTAGACGCTGCGACTTCCCAAGATTGGGGGATCCTGGAATTTCCATATTTAGAAGAAGTCTAGGTTCTTACTGGTGAATTCCCAAGATTGTTACTTAGTGATATGAAATAGAGATTCAGGATCCGGAAGCACGTAGGTAAGCTATTCTTTTGATGTTTATTTGTCTTTTGAAATAGATTCTTACCATTGAACACAAAACTCTAATAGCAAGAAAGATTAATGGAGGAACACAGTGACAACTTTTGTGGCTTATTTTTGTTTGGAAAATTCAGAAAACAAACTAAATTTGATTTTCGACCGGTTTAAAATGGAATCTGGTTTTTGTTTTTTAATTTTATTCACTATGCATCCCAGTCCCTAGTCCCTAGACTGAACCGGCTCAAAAGAAGTTGCCGACAGGCCAGCTTTAGAGATTAAAGACAGCATAAAAAGTTGCCTTTGCTTTCTCAGTTTTTTCGTTTTTCTTTTTATGTAGTTCGTTTTTTGTTAATTAGACACGACTTCAAAGCTAATGTAGGTAGGAAGATCCTATATCAGTGACAGTGCATGCTAGATTGATGCTAGAGAAAAGAAAAATGAGCTACAAATGGGTGAAAACTTTTTTTTATCATCATTGATAATTTGTTTCTGAGAGGAAAGAACAGTGATTAACAAAATTAACTAGATTTTTGTTTGAGTTTTGATTTGGTTTTCTAGACTGTCACGGATGATCGGGTGATGGTGTTTATGAAAGCACCTTTTAGAGTTCGACGGTGTGGAACTAAATTGCTGTGTTAAATAATACGACAAAGAGGGAACCACCATAGTGGTGTCTGAGCTAAATTGATACGTATGTGTTAGATAAAAGTATAAAACGATAGAGGGAACAACCATAGTACGGTGTCTTTAAAAAAACGCTCCAAAACTCAAATCCGAAGTTGACTATGATTAGGTACTTAAATAAGATTAGGTACTTGAATAAGATTAGGTATTACGAGATATACGTATAATGTACTATTCAATTTGAATATTTGGTAATATAGCTAAGTGTATGTATAGGTTAGAAACAATGAAAACACTCAAAAACTAAACTCTGATTAATCTCCGATTTTTTCGCTAAGCACTAGACCGCACCCCGACCTGAGTAGCGCTTTAGCGATATGTTGAATATGGAGTTTAACTGTATAAGATCTTGGACCTAAGAATCAATACAGAACAGTATTGTTTTTTTTTTTTTTTGAGAACGGAACAGTATTGTTTTTTAAAATAGGGAGCGATTTGTAGTTTTATATATATGTGGCTTGATAAGCTATTATGGGTGAAAATAAATGATTTTAAAAATTCTGAAAGTGCGCTTACTTGAGATATGGTGAACTAGAAAAGAAAGAGGAAAAAATCGAAAAAGAAGATGAATAAAGATATGAAACTGATGAGTGATGTTCGAAGACAAGAATGTCTAGAAAAACGTGTATGTTCAGATTACAAGCTTTTTTTTTATTTTTATTTTTTTAAATGTTTCGATCAATTGATTGTCTCTTTTTCTCTTTTGTCAATCATTTCTACGAAAATGTTGATAAAAAAAAAATTGATAACTATCCATAATATACAAATATCAAGTTGTTACGTTCGTTAAATTTGTTAACTGATCATTTTCGTCTACAAAGTCAGAGATCATGGTTACTTTCTTCCTTGTAATTCCTTCGTTTCCATATTTGTTGTATGGACGCAAAACCATTTCACCTAGTGCTAACAAAAATAAGGATCTTTGATGAAAAAAATGAGGAAAATGGTTAGAAAAGTAGGGCACAATCAAACTTTTGTATTTAGGTCAAAAGAGTTCTCAACTTTTTTATTGGCCAAACAAATCTTCAAGTTCCTCGTTTGTCCAAATAAAGTTTTAAATTTGCCTAGACTTGGCTAACTTAGTCCAAAATTAGTCAAGTTCAATGGAGTGTGTTATGTTTGATTAATGCTGGGTCTAATTCGGTCATGTCAACTTAAAATTGGAGATTTATTTGGCCAAAACCAGTAAGTTTGGAAATTTTTAAATGAATAATTATTTTATTTTAAAATCTTACTTTTTCCAATACATGATTAAATGTATTTGTACCGCAAAATATAAAATGGTGCTTATCATTTTATATAAATTTAGAGAAGAAAAGCTTGCATAATTATTTTAAAACTAAAATTAACGAAAGAAGATATATATATATATATATATATATTAACTTATATACTTCATTTATCTTATTTTCTTAAATCTTATTTAAAATATTTAGATTCATAAAATCTAAATCGGCTGACTTACATTTTCTACTTAATTTTTTTCCAATTTAAAATAAATAATTCTTCTCATATAAGATCGTTAATTTACCTTGTAAAATAGACAAGTGTAATGAAATTATCAATGAGTATTTAATTTAATGTGTTGTAAATTTCTATTTTTTTCTATATAATGAGTTACCAGTTTTGAAATATCAAAAGATTTAGATATACTCGGAAATGTTATTTAATATTTTTGGGAAAATATCCTCACCAAATTAATTATGTTACTTGATTGATGATATTTTTGATAATTTAGCAAGATTGCCTATACAACTTCAATCTGGTATATATTCATTAAGGATTTGAATAGTACTGGTTATTAACATATTAAATGCCATAAAAAATGTATAAACGTGCAAAACAAATGAAGATCAAATGGAACAAATGTTGAATGATTATTCGAGATGTACGGTAATATCAATTTTTAACTATGGTTTAATCACTTTAAACCACAAAAACATATTTTGTTTCCTTTAACTTATAATGATCGATAAAAAAAAAAACTGACTCACAACAATTTGTTGTTCCTTTCAAATTTGTTTGTTTCTTTCAAATATTGAATGGTGTTTGATGAAGAGTTTGGGTTTGCACGGTATGTGTTTGTATCAGCTAGAGAAATAAATGTCTTGTAAACAGTGGTCAAATGCAATTGCCACGTCTAAATTATTCAAAACCTAAAACTAGGTTTGTTTACTATTACAAAATCTTCTTAATAATTCATTTGAAGTAAAATTTGTTTAACATTTTGTACCCTTTTTAGAGTACTAGCTTATTCAGCTGTTTACTATAATTTGAATTTTTGTATCAATGATATTTCATCTTTCTAGCTTTTTTTTTTGTTAAATAAGAAAAAAATTGCTTAAAAATGCGTCTCTATGAGGATTCATAATCATGAGATGTTAAAATCCCAACTTTTTTTCTCAGTTTAGGAAAAGGAGATGAATTTGCATCTTGAAGCCATCATTGAGGTAGCTGAAGAGGAAACATTCACATGAAAGTGGAAGGGGTCCTTACAACTTCTTAGATACCTTTCTTCTGCTTCTCTCTCTCTTTCTCACATTGCCAAGTATCAATCTCTACCTCTCTCCACTCTCTTCTCTCTCTCTTGCCAAAACCACTCATTGTCTTTACTCTCTCGCAGGTCACTATTAATGACCCCTTTGAGCTGTTGCTACTTCTTTGTCTGTTTTTCAAAAATGGTTCTTTAGATATCCGGGTTCTTGGATCTGGGTTGTTCAGGTTTCTTTAATATTTTTGTTCCTTACCTCACTCAAAGCTACTCCATTTTCGTTTCCCAAGATGGGTTTTGCTTAATCTTCAACTTCGAGATTTGGGTCTTTCAGGGATTTCTTAACTTTCAACTCTCATCAAGAGATTCAACTTCTTCCCTTTTCGAGTCTCTGCTTCTTTTGGGGAGAAGCTAAAAAATGGCTCCAAGGTTTGATTTTTCAGATTTGTGGGCGAAGGAAACGAGGAGAGGTACACCAGTTGTGGTGAAAATGGAGAATCCCAATTACTCAATCGTTGAAGTAGAGGAGCCAGACGGTGCGTTTAGACCAATGGAGAAGAGTAGAGGCAAGAACGCTAAGCAAGTGACTTGGGTTTTGCTTCTTAAAGCTCACAAAGCCGTTGGATGTCTCACTTGGCTAGCTACAGTCTTCTGGTCTCTCCTTGGTTCGGTCAAGAGACGGCTCAGTTTCACTCACCCATTTGGTTCTGAGAGACTTGGCAGAGACAAATGGCTTTTCTCAGCCATTAAGCTCTTCTTAGCTGCTTCATTGTCGATTCTTGGGTTTGAGTTAGTTGCTTATTACAGAGGCTGGCATTACTTCAAGAACCCTAATCTTCATATACCTATAAGCAAACTTGAGATCCAGAGCTTGTTTCATCTGCTCTATGTTGGTTGGCTGAGCTTAAGAGCTGATTATATCGCTCCTCCAATCAAAGCTCTCTCCAAGTTTTGTATTGTGCTGTTCCTTGTACAGTCTGTAGATCGTTTGATTCTTTGCTTAG